TATTAGACGTGGTAAAAGTCTTTCACCTTTCCTCTCTTCTAAATATACCGAGGGTTGCCATTGACAAAAAGTTACAGGATTTTCAACCAAATTGCAGGTATTAATCTCTTTATCTTCTGTGTATATCACTTTATTATTATTTTTTTTATTTTTTTTTACTTTTTTATCTTTGTGTTGAAATGTTTGTGTGATTTCTCCATCTTTCTCTTTTCGATCATTTATATATGGAGCAAAGATAATATAAAATAAAAATTAACAATCATCTGGAGTCAAAAATAATATTTTATTTTATTTTAAGGTTTTTCTTTATTTTTTTCAATGGTTGGGCATCTTATAACAATCCATAATTAGCGTCAAAATATTAATTAAATTGATTTTATTAAAATGTAATATAAGCCAATGAAAAGGGTATTTTTAAAGAAAATTATTTCATTCTATATTTAATGATGGTCAACCAAACAATAGAATGGTAATAATCATTTCATTCCATAACAATTCACCACGTCACACCAAACAATGAAATAATATTCTTATTACATTCAATTCTCATTCTCATTTTATTCCGAGCTGCATTCTATTCCATTCTTGCACACCAAACGTGAGCCTATACCACACCCCTCATGTACAAAAAAACACCCTTAAAAATTTAATTTAGTGTAAATAGGTCCCTCTAACAAATTTAAATCCTAAGTTGACTAACCTTTACTGAACTATTTTATAAAATATTAAAATAAATAATTTTGTAAAATGATAGTAAAAGACACTATTGGAGGACACCCCTCAAGTACAAAAAACACTTTTAAAGTTTCAATTTGGTGCAAATAAGTACATCTGACAAATTTAAACCCTAAGTTGACTATATTACCCTCATTGAACCATTTTATAAAATATATAAAGATAAATTTTGTGAAATAACCGAAAAGGACACTATTGGAGGACGCCGGTAATGGACAAGTAAAGACAAAAATAGAAAATTAAAAATATATATATAAGAAAAGTAAAGATTAAAATAGAAAAAAAAAATGAAAATAAAGTGCAAATTAAAAAAAAAAATTGGTCCAAATTAAAAACTAGTGCACAGTGATATTGGTACTTTTTCCTCTTTTTTATTTGTTTAACAATTTTGGTACTAATAAAAATATATATATAGTAGAAAATAATAAACTGAAATTTTAAAAAATTCAAATCCTTATTCTACAAATTTTCAAAATTTCAAAAAAAAAAAAAAAAAAAAAAGTAATATGTACATAACACTAGTATATTATGAGATTGGTAGCATATATACCTCTGGACATTTTCAAAAAAGTAAAAAGACAAAAAGAGTATTACAACACTAATTATTTTAGATTTCTAATTGAGGAGTATTTTTTGCACAATGTGAAAAGATTAGAAGTGTTTTTTACATACTTTTTTAAAAAAGGTGGTAAAAGTATTAAGCGAAGTATATTTTAAGAATATTTTATAAACTTATCACAAACCTTATAAGTGATAAAATTGAATAAAATGATGACGTGACTGAATTGAGACGGCATAATTAAAATATATAAAATTCAAAAAAATAGTTTCATTCCAACACACTAAATCCATATGTAACAACACTCATTGAGGTTGCAACTCCATTTATGAATCTTGAAAATAATACTAATGTTGAACAATTTAAGTGGGGACACAAATACCATCAAGACAGGAGAAACTGAGAAAGACTATCAAAGTCGAATTATTCAAAATAAAAATAAATAAATAAAAGGAGACTGCCAAAGTCCAACCTCATTAACTCAGCTTTATACAAATTAAGAAATTCAACCCTGTGTTATGTAGTTGAAACTTTATCACTTTAACTTCAAACGTTTGACTTGTGAGTCACGCACATTTGGGTCACTGACATACCAATTCCCAAGTTACTGTTTTGTAAGAACAATATTAGCTGAAAAATATAAATTTATTTGACAGTGGAGGATATTTAAACCTTCATAATCTTATTATATATAAATGTCACAATAATTCAAACAAATTATTGTTTTTTGTTTTTTTTTTTTCCTTTTTCCATTTGCAAGGATTGTTTTTCATTTATTGTCTTGAATTCAAAATTAATTAAAAATAATAATATATAATTAAATTCATAAAAAATCAAATTCTCTCGTGTACCACTTTATCGTGTGTTATAAACTATGTATTTATGCTATTTATTCAACAAATTATATTACAAATATAAAAATGTTACAATAACAATCATTTATATCACTTACGCAACTATACAATACTTATGCAACAATTATACCAAAATCTCATAAAATTAGTATGAGAATTGCAACAGAAGGCCTATGATGTCCCACGTGATGTTCAAAATTGCTCTCCTAAATCTGAGTCAAAATTGAAGGTCTCGCCGAAAAGAAAAGAAAAGTGAAAAGAACCAGCTTTTGTCATCTCCGTCATGATTGGACTACATCTCTCTCTCATTTCACTTTCTCTCAAATACCCTGGCTTTTCCCCCCCAAAAACCTGCTTATATTATGCCTAAAGCAAAACCAAATTTTAATGAGATATTTTTGTTTGGTCTGAGTCATTTTCTTTCTATCCAAACAAACAGCCCCAATCCCTAATGTCCTATTCCCATGCATGGCCAAATTCATTTCTTTCACCTACTCCGTGCTTCTTATCTGTCCATTGACAATCAGACACGTGTCCCTACTCATGTAGCACCAAAATAGCAAACATTTAAAGTCTAGGTAATAAGTTAATAACCCACTATGGTCATGTTTGGATTAGTTAAACCAAACACGGAACAGAAATGTGCGGAGTAGGGCTATCTTCGCCACCAAACAGGTGGAGCAAGTTTTGGATCTCGAGCTATGCCATTAAATGACCTCACAGCACCTGTTGGTCCGTAGATCTGAAAACAGGCAACTTGTCGTAAGCAAAGCTAATACATCACAAGACTAATCGTGCCCGTCAAAACCATCCACTACTTATTACCATAGCTCCGGACACACCCAGTCCCATTACCAATCAATCCCAGTACAGTAATTATTATCCACTGCTTCACACCAACATCATAAAAATTAAAAATTAAATAAAATTTTTTAAATAATGTACAATTTACAAGGTGTCTTTTTTTTTTTTTTTTTCATAAAAACAAAAACAGTAAATTTCACTTAGTTTTGTCGATATTTCATATAGTACTTTTATATTTTTGTTATCTCCTGAAGTTAGAGCTGCAAATGAATCGAGCTGTTCATAAGCAGTCCGGGCTATACTCGCTAAGGACTCACACTCGAACTCATTCGTTAAGCAAATAAGCCGAACTTGAGCTCAATTTATAAACTCGTTTACTAAACGAGCTAAACCTGATCAATGTTCGATTCGGCTTGTAAACACGAGCTCGTGTTGGCTCGTTTATGTTAGTGAACAATGGACTCGTTAAGGATTTGTTTACATCTGTGTTTTTATTTTTTGTTGGAATTTTTTAATTTTTGGAAGCATAAAATAAAAATGTAATCATTTAGTTTAACTGAGCAAATTTCGAACATTAGTTTAATTTAATTTACTAAACGAGTCGAGCCCGAGCTTTTTAATACCGTGACAAGCCCAACCCTGAATTGAGATTTTTAAGCTCGTCACGAGCCCGAGTTGAGTTATAAACAAACGAGCCCAACCTTGAGCCGGGAACGAGCCTGAACAAATTTTGACCATTAGTTTAATTTAATTTATTAAATGAGCCGAGCGAAGATTTTTGAGCTCGTCCCGAGCTCGAACATCCTAAAGCTCTGCTCGACTTAGTTCGTTTGCCGCCCTGAATTTGTTGTTGGTAGCAGCTAAAAATTGATAAAAGATCAACTTTACCCCTTTAATGATCCAAATGACAACAAATATTTCATGAACTAAATGATAAAATAATATGTTACCGTTATCAAGTAGCCGGCATGTGAAATTATGAAATATTGAGGGTATTTATGCAGAATATTGACAAATCTGAAAAAAAAAAAAAAAGTAATTGAAATTTACAAAAAGGAAAAATCAATATATATATAAATATAAAATTACATTCAAATGCGAAGAAACGTTTTCTTATTTAGAATTGAGCAATGTAATATTGGATTCTTTTTTTATTTTTGGTGCTATCTATTAGCCACCATCTAAATTTGGCTCTATCAAAAAAACAAAAAAATTGGCCTCTATTCGAATTTTTTTTTTATTCACCTTAATGTTTTTTTGTTTGTTGGAGAATTGCTAAATGCTAAGCAGTTTCTGAATATCAAACGATATGACAAATCAGTTAGTAAAAATGGATCAAAATTTTTATCATTTTTCATTAGAAATTCAAAATAAGGAAAAACAGAGGTACTTTTGGAAAAGCAAAGGAGTGAATTTGTCACCGTCAGATTAGACAGATGGAAAGTGGTGTTTATGTGGTGGGCCCATATGTATATATACATATAAAATCATGATCATCATCAGGTTGACAAATCCAATACAGAATGGAGGGGTCTCTCCTTCTCTCTCCTATTTTGTTTTGATGCCCATTCTGTTGATTAGACTAGACAATTGCTTAGAATTCGTGTCAAAGTGTCAACGCCGTTAGATTTTAGAAATATAAAGTTGTTAGCTTGTCCTTGTCAACATGTTCTCTTTCATTCTATCTTTAACAAGTTCACAGTTTACCCATTGATCTTCTACTACACTAGGTGAGTGAGTGAGTGAGTGAGTGACTGTGTGTGTTCACAAGTACTATATGTAGCTTCGAAACCAATAATGCTCCATTTCCAGTCTATAATTAATACTACTATAGTATATCTATATAAAATATAGGTTATAGTATATAGATAGATATAGTAGTTTTTATAGATGGTGAATCATATATAATTCATAAGTGGTGGGTCCAACTCTTCCATTGAATTCATGGGTGTAGACCCCACCACATTAAACTCCATGATTTGAGTCACATTATACATGTATGTAATGAAATTTAATAATGTGGAAAGAGGAACATACAAAAAAGGACATTGTTATGGTATAATATAATTAGAGAGATAAGTATGAAGTTATTATTAAAATGGCCAAGAGTACTTGAGATATAAATGGGCATAGAGATGGGCCTTTTGCTAAACCCGATTCTCTCTGTTCAATTTATTTGTGTCTCCCAAACACATATTAACACATATAAACATCTCTCATTCAAAGCCCACAACCATCCCACTTACATATCTCATCTTCTTTAATATATATTATCTATAAATACTTCATATGGTAAATAAAAACCTAACTTAAGGATTAAAAAAAGAAAAAAAAAAGGGAAAAGAAAGATTAAAGCTACAAATGAAAATTCCATTTCCATGGATTATATGGATCAACACTTCCCAACTCCTTCAAACTATAACCCAACACCCAGAACCACCACTGCCACTGCCATCAACACCGCGAGAAGGCAGAATATTCCGGCAGGTTCACATCACATGGCAACTTGAAGTGTTTTCATCACTAAAGAAGTTGGTGTACGGATCCGCCTGAGGCGGGTGTGGGTGCGGGTACGGGTAAGGAGGCATGTAATTGACGGCCGGAGGAGGCCGGGCATACATCATCGGTTGAAATCTTTCGTTCCCATTTGCCCTTTGCTGATTCATCATCATGGCAGCCATTTGTTGTTGCTGGTAGTAGGGGTTTCCAGCCATGATTTCAGGTCCAGCTCCTTGGAAGTAAGGGCCGCCACCGCCATTCATTGCCGCGGCCGGAAGGCCTTGGACTGCCGGAATATTACCCATCTGGCCCATGGGTACATGACCCATCTGGCTCATTTGACCCATTGGTGGCACTTGACCCCCATTACCACCAGGATTCATACCACCTATCATGTTATGATTCATATTGAGCATACCATCATTCATTCCACCCCCTTTCTTGCCCCCACCGCCATTCATGTTGTTCCCATTAGCACCCCCACCACCACCATTACCATTCTTGTTCTGACCTCCACCATTATTTTTAGCATCTGATGGACCTCCCCCACCATTCTTGCCACCATTTTTGCCTGCACCACCACCTTGATTTTGATTTCCATTACCGCCGCCTCCGCCTCCGCCTCCGCCGCCGCCGCCTCCTTTCTTTCCACCACTGTTACCACCCATTCCATTAATCTGAACAGGTATATTTCCACCACCACCACCCTTTTTACCATTCCCACCACCATTTCCGCCAGGATTACCACCAGCATTTCCAGCCTTGGCGGCCTGGGCAGCCATTAGCTGCTGTATTTGTTGCTGATTCATCATCATATTAGGCATCTTAGGCATTCCTTGAGGAATAGCGTTACCCATCATGGGTGGTGGTTGTTTCATCTTGTTAGGAGGCTGAACAGGGGTATCATCCAATTCATCATCAAACTCATCATCATCATCATAGTCATCGTCATCATCATCATAGTCATCGTCGTCATCAAATTCATCATCATCAAACTTCACAGCCTTCTGGTCCTTGTTGGGATTGTTAAAGGGCATCTTATTAAGGTCCTTAAATTGGGGGGGCAGCTTCAGATCTTGAAACCCTTTCATCTGAAGTTGCTGAAGCATCTGCTGCTGCTGCTGCTGGGTTGGGCCCTGTTGTTGCCCACCTCCTCCTTTAGGCTGCTGCTGCTGCTGCTGCTGATTGTTTCCTCCCTTTTGGCCCTTGTTGTTCCCGCCTTTGCCATTGTCAATCTGCATGTTCTTGAACTGGTTATTGAGTTGGTTCTGTTGATTGTTGTTGGGTTTTGGAGCACCCCAAAGCTCTGCATGTTTACCACTCTTTGCAAGCTTCTTGATGAGTGTGGCAGGGGCTACATTTCCTGACACTGTCACTTTCCCCTGTTCTGAATCTATATGTGTTTTATAAACCCCTAGGAAAAAATAAATAAAAATACCCAAAACCAAAACAACCAAAAAATTTCAGATTAAGAGAGCCAATTTCAACCAGAAGAAGAAAGAAAAGGGAAATTAAAGAAGATGGGTTCTTGAAATGAAACCAAATACCATCAATTTTGTGCAAGATTTTCTTTACTTTGCTCTTACACCCATCACAGTGAATATTCACTTTCAGAACACATGTCTGCATGTACAAGTAAAACCAAAGAACAGAACACAGTGTAAAGAAAAAACATCATTCAGATAAGGAAAAAATAAAAAATAAAATACCATGCTTGTCAAGAGAGAAGCTAGAGATATACAAGTTAAATTACTAATTAATTGCAAATGTATGGTAAGGAAAGAAAGAAATATAAAAAAGCAAAAGCAGTCAAAATCAATCTTGAGTTTGAAACAAGCAAAGAACTTGAAACAAGCAAACAAAATAGAAGTAAACACACAATGAATTTCTACATATAGATATATATATACGCAAATGTATACATAAACATATATATGAACAAATGAATTGAGTGTACTTATACCTGGATCTTCAAGAACTCTTCTTTACTCATATCTTCTACTGAAACAGAGAATAAGAAGGGTACAAGGAAAAATCGAAAAAGTGTGGGTTGTTGCTAGATCTGATGATAGAAACAGAAGCAGGTAAAAGAAGAGGACTGAGAAGAAGATGAATTACATATAAGAACCAACTCCACCACGAGGTCTCTTCTCTTCTCTGTTCTTTCTTTTGGGGCTTTTCCAAATAAACATAGAGAGGAATGATAGAAAACAAATGAGGGTCAGGAGAGAGAGAACAGAAGGGCAGACTGTCAACAGGGTGCGGGGAGAGTCTAGCTCTTTGAGACCTTGCTCTTGTTTTGGCCTTTATTTATTGGTATTTTGTTACCATATTTAGAAGATTATATGTAATTTCATAATTAGCCCGCATAAGCCACTGGTATTTGGCTTGGCTTAAAGGTGCGTTTGGCTTGGCTTCTGAGCCAGTCTTGTGAATGGGTCACACGGTAAGAGTGCATGTATTAAATTACTAGCAGATGTGAATGAACCCTTGTCAGATCTCTCTCTCTCCCCTATTTTGGGTGGTACAATAAATTGCTAACTCATTTAATGTACCCCCTTAGGGGTATGTAAATTGGTTAAAGTAACATAATTAAATATATATATATATGTATGTATTATTATATTCTGGTAATTAAATTATGTCAATACATTACATAGTGTTCGGTAAGATTACTACAATTGGTTTCACATGAAATTACAATAATACCCTTGTTCTGTTTGCTCTCCTTTCCATCCATTTGGAATTTGGTTAGATGAATTTTTATACTCTGTAGTACAATTTTAGTAAAGGGTTGTAAATTGTAATTTCATATAACCGCGTTTTATTGTTGAAGTATGGTCCATGGTACAGGATGCCTAACTAATACTGTTTTTTAATGCCGAGTATAAGTTGTGTAATAAAGCAATGCTTATCCCTTGAAGCTGACTGTATAAAATAAGGCATTAAATGAAAAATACAATAAAAATTCAAATTTATATTTATAGAGTTTGATGAAAAAATAAATAGAATGAAAACAAAATAACAATAAATTGTTGAAAGAATAAATAGAAAGAAAACAAAATGACATTAAACTTCAGTTACATTGAAGTTCTATACTTCTGTCACGGTTTTGACTAGTGATGGGTGAAAGTTTCTAGAGTACATTTTACGAATGCATTTACATTGAAATATGATGTTTTCAATTTGATGGATTAGTGTTCTATAATTGTTACTCCTTGTTCTGTCCTAAAATAAATATTTTATTTAGATAACTGTGACTTATAATAATGTCTATTTTAAAAAATTGTGATTCAAATATATGAGTCACAGTTTTTCAAAAGAGATATTTATTTTGAGACAAAATAAATATAATATTTTGTTATTCAAATTTTATTTTATTTTATTTTATTTTTATTATTTTTTTCGCGCTAAGTAGAGGAAAAATTATACCTTCTAATTGTCACATTTACACTTCATTAAGAATATCAAATCAGTCGCATTTTTAGGATCGGAAGAAATCTTCAAAATTTAAGTTGAAGCCATACAATAAGAAAATCGTTCCATATCAGGATCTGAATAACCTTCAATTAATGCATGTTCTAACTAAAAATTCCCAATTGTGACTCGTTAAGAATGTTAAATCAACTATATTACAAGGTGAAAAGAACTCTTCAAAATTTAAGTTCTATGACAAAAAAATCGTTTCATATTGGGATATTAACAGCCTTCAATTAACGCATGTGCTAATGGTCTCCGTTGTAACTTATTAAGAATATTAAATCAATCACATTACCGGGTGAAGAACTCTTCACAATTTAATTCTATGATAAGAAAACCGTTTCATATCGGGACTTGAATAACTTTCAATTAATGTATGTTCTAACTAATAGTTTTCAATCATAACTTATTAAGAATATCAAATCAATCACATTATCGGGTGAAGAACTCTTTAGAATTTAAGTTGCACGACAAGAAAATAGTTTCATATCGGGATTTGAACAACCTTTAATTAATGCATATTCTAATCATCGATCTCCAATCATGACTCATTAAGAATATCAAATCAATCGCATTACTGGGTGTAGAACTCTTCCGAATTTAAGTTTTACGATAAGAATACAATTACATATCACGATTTAAACAACCATCAATTAATGAACGTGTTTAACTAACATTCTCCAATCATGAATCATCAAGAATATCAAATCAACCACGTTATTAAGTAAATAACTCTTTAGAATTTAAGTTGTATTAAGTAAATACTAAGATTTGAAAAACCTTCAATTAATGAATGTTCTAACTGTTGGGATTTATATGCCCTGGCATAGCAAATTCCTATCTGGATTATAGTTACATATGTTCCTAACGTTTCTGAAATATTTATGCTTTATACAATTGGTGAATTCAATGTATTATATTTCGATTCATTATAGAATTGATAGTGTCCATTTGATTACAAGAGAAATTTATATATATGTATGTGATGACGATCAATGCATGGTATACAAATAGTAGTCATAAATTGTTCATAGTCGGTAATTATGGATGGACTCATAATTAATTAAGACTTGAACTGGATCCGCGTTAGATTAAGATATATTGCAAAAGCCGTCATATGCAATTGCTCCCTATCACCGTCATGGCATTTGACTCTTAAGTATGAGAAAAGTATAGACTCTTGTATTAATTAATAATTACTTTAATTTGTTTGGCGGATTCTTCGGGGTTCTTAGACCGACATTTTGGGTAATTATGTAATTAATAGTTAGAGGGTTATATTTTCAATATTTGCATCATTGCTACTTGTATTTATTTTGTATTGATTATGGTTTATCACAAAGTAAATTCGAAGGCCTTCGTGTGTTTTTAGACAAAATGATTTATTATATATTTATTTATTTAAATTATTATTTTTGTCAAATAAATGTTTTATAGTGATCGAGCCAGAAATAATTAAAGATATCAAAATAAATATATTAATTAAGTAGTCGGATTAATGGCTTTAGTTATCCGATAACTAATTATGCATAGAGGGGTCAAAGTGCGATATTGACTTAGAGGTTATTTATTATTTAATTGGAGTTCAATTAATTTCTTTTAGTAGAGTAGAAATTAATTTATGAATTAATTGAATTGGGTCTATGGACCGGGCCAATTATTAATTCATTGTAGCCAATAAAATAATAGGCCCAATGGATTCTCACTCATAGCCCAACTTGATATTGGAATCGTATTAGATTTGAGACATGTGAATTAGAGATTGAGAAGAATTTGTTATTTCCTTTTCTTTATCTTTTTGTTGCCTATAAATATACATGGTCTATGTATATTTTTTAGGGTGATTTTTAGTAGAAGGAAAAAGAAATATATATATTCTCTCTCTAGAAAATTAAGGTTTATGTTCTCATCTAATGGAGGCTCCCACAAGCCTAATTTTCCAAGATCATTCATGAAGGCTTATGAGTGATTCCTAAAGGCAAAATAATTACCAAGAAGATGGAGATACAAGGAGAAGGCATCTTGCTAAGGGATCTACAATAAGTGAGAACATTCACTTTAGAGGAAAGTTTTAAAGGTTTACTTAGACCTTTGATATAAGTATTCAATCCATTAATTGAATGATACATCATTTTTTTATTTTTGCATAAAACTTGTCTCTATGTGATGAATCAAGATCTATGAATCAAAATCCTTCGAAAAGTTTTTAAAACTTACACATTTCCTAACACTAACTAACCGTATCTGATCATGACTGATCATTAAGAATATCAAATCAACCGTATTACCCGGTGAAGAACTCTTCAGAATAACAAGAACACCATTTCATATTAGGTTATAAACTCAATTGACGCATATTCTAACTAATAATCTCCAATCATGATTCATTAAGAATATCAAATCACTTGCATTGCCGGGTGAATAACTATTCAAAATTTAAGTTCCATGACAAAGAAATCGTTTCATTTCGGGATCTGAACAATATTCAATTTATGCATGTTGTAACTAATAGTCTCAAGTCATTACTCATTAAGAATATCAAATCAACCGCATAATCGAATAAATTACACTTCAAAAATAAATTTATATGACAAAAAATTGTTTCATATCACGATTTGAATAACCTTCAATTAATGCATGTTATAACTAATGATCTCCAATCATGATATGACATGGTTACTTCATTCAATTTTTCAAAAACCCAATACGTGTTCTTCGCACCATGTCATATTGCAAAACAGAAAGGGTAAATTACACTGACCTCCCTTGAGGTTCAGTCAAGTTACACTGATCTCCCCTCTTGTTTAACAAATTGCACTAACCTCCCTTCAAATTTAAATTTTCATAACATAGAGTACCCCTCCATTAACTACCGTTAAAGGTCATTGCCTAATCAATGTTAGTAATTGCTGATGTAAGTTTAAAGTTACTAAAGTACTCTTTTAGTTATTATGAAGACAAATTTGACCTTATTTACTGAAATAAAATTACTTAAAAACCCTCCATGGTTGCCATTACATTGGAGCCTTTTGGGCTCTCTGCAATTTACTAGAATCCATTGGAGCCACTGGTACAAGCTCTCTCCACTCAACCTTTAAAAAAGAAAAACCTCTCTCCGCTAAGTAATTTTCATTGGATGATTCTTGTATTCCACTCTACATAATAAACAATTGCCTTTTTTTTTTTTTTTTTTCCTTCTCTCTTTTAAACTCACAATTGAGTTACTTCATTCTTCATGTATTCTTTATTATGTAGAGTGGAATATAAGAATTATCTAATATCAACGCCATTGGAAACTAAATTTTCTAAGTGTCTTGGTTTTGGACTTCGTTTGTAACCAAATGAAATAATTATAAATGGAAGGTGGAGAGGATCTACTACAACCAAACCTCCAATTATAAATAATCCAATTGATTATTTGGTGTGTTTGAGTTTCAGCACCAAATCTGGGTTTATGTCATACCCATTTACTCTCTTTCTTACCCTATTTGAATTGCCTTCCTATACCTCTCTTTGTTGTCACCAATCAAACCCAAATATATATACACCAAATCAAACAAATATATCCTCTCTCTCTCATCTCAAATTGTTTCTCATCAAACAAATATATTTAAGTGTATATATATATATATATATATATATCTCCTTCCAAATTGTTTCGCTTTGACATATGAATAATTTTATTTTTTCAATGTTCATCCTTTTGTAAATAAAATACAATAAATATAATGAGGACATAGATGTAATTTCACTTGAATTGTTAACACTATCTACTTGATCGTTATAAAAGGGGAGGTTGGTATAATTTGACAAACAAAAGAGAAAGTCAGTGTATGTTGACGAAACCTCAAGGAGGTCACTATAATTTTCTCAAACAGAATAATTAGTGCACCAAAGTGTCTAATCATAATAAATGGCTGAAAATTTGGCGGTTAATACATTTTACTTACACATTTATATACTTCCGTCACAATTTTGACCAGTGATCCAATTAAGGTTTTAACATTTTATTAATACAGTTAAATTTAATAAAAGTAAGATAAATTGCACGTGCAATTCACGTGTGTAGATTAATATATGTTATACATATCATATAACAATATTAAATATATATATTTATAACGCATGCTCTGACTTACAATCTATTATCACAACTCATTAAAAATATCAAATCATCCCCATTATCGGGTGAAGAACTGTTCAGAATTTAAATTATACGACAAGAAATCTTTTTCATATCCAGATCCGAACAATTTTTCATTAATATATGTTCCAATTAATAATTTCTAATCATGACTCATTAAGAATATCAAATCAACCTGCATTATCAGTCAAAAAAATTTCAGAATTTAAGTTGTACGATTAAAAAAAAAAAATCGTTTCATATGGGGATCTGAATGTTCTAACGTACAGTTTTCAATCATTATTCATTAAGAATATTAAATCAACTCTTCAGAATTTAATTTCGACAGCGAGAAAATCTTTTCATATTCGGATCTAGATAACATTTGATTAATACTTGTTCTAACTAACAGCCTCAAAATTACGACAAGCATGTTGACTTTGTTCAAATTTTCAAAAACCTAAAACTTGTTATTCACATGTTATATCATATTGGAAAACATAAATGATTAATGCCCAAATTTTATAAAATAAATATTTTTCTTTTCTCTTGTATAAAATGTAATATAATATATTATTCTGATATAAAAACATTATTAAATTTGCTCACGTAAAGCCACTTTTTGGCCATCAATAAATAAATTTAAAGAAATTTATAAGTAATAAATATTAAATAATCTACTCGTATATAGTTTACCTAAATTTTACTACTGTTAGTGTAATTTACCCGTTTTTCCAAATAAAGTTATTTTCACTTACCAAAAGAAATAGTGAAAAAACTTTAATTATATTATTTGGCAGAAAAAAAAGGAAAAAAAAAAAACACAAGAGAAACTAACCACCCATAAGTCACTTTGAGCAAACTCTAACTTTAAACTGCAATTAGATGGAGAAGGCTAAGACCTAAGTAGCCCTTTGGTTCAGATGAATTTTGCAGGAGTTATAATGTCAATTATGTACGTCGAGCCTTCTTTTATAAGCTAATAATTGTTGTCGTTCTTAAAAGCCTAACCCATGATGAGACCCTTGTGGCTATGTCCTTTAATCTACTCTTTTTAATTTTATTTTATTCAAATTTTTTGAAACCCCTCTCAAGGGCCCTATTTCACCTGTAAAGGAATGTGAATGGTGGTGATAAAGGGCCTCAGCAAATTGGCTTTTCCTGCCTTAATGTAAAGATACAGTAAGCTTCAATAATTCATTCCAGTTTCAACTTTCAATGGGTTGTCACTTACTAGGGTTTGTCAAAACATTTTTTTTTTTTTGAAAAAAAAGAATTAAATTGTTAACACAGGCCACCATAAAGTGTTTTAAGACACTCGGCACCACCATTACTATACATATATATGTATATAAAGATATTCCCTTCGTCTCAAATTAAGTGTCATGTTTTGAGAATCATAACTAACAAATCCAAAATAGGACACTTAATTTGGGACGGACACTTAATTTGTGAGTCATGATTCCTAAAACATGACATTTAATTTGGAACGAAGGGAGTATATATGTATATATATAAAGTCATTGGGGCTTTTAAAAAAAGAATTCAAGTGTGAAGTATGTGGAAGCAAACGTAGCTTCTCCAACTATCCTCTTAATTTACTTGCTCAATTATGCATTACATATGGAATCACAATTTCACGACTGCTAAAGTCATTTACCTTTTTGCTATGAAATTGAAAGTTCCATTAAAATTTGTGGAATGAAATAATGGTAGTTCAAAATTAGCTATGGCTTGAGATTTGAAAGTGTATTCATTTTTGTAAATATGGTCTGCAAAAGGAAAAGCATTGGGCAATAATGGTATGCAGTGGCATGACCAAATATGGAACAAAATATCACATGAACACCACATGGAGGTGGTGTTTGGATGGTGATTGACAATTGCTAAGAAGATAGATTGGGTAGAAGGTCATTTATGAACACCTAACCCACTTTGCATGCTGCATTATTTGCTCTGCTCTTGCTGCACACAACAACACTTCACATGGTCTTTGCAGCCCCCTCTTACTCTTACCTCTACATACACATATATATATATGTGTGTGTGTACGCGTGTGATAGAATTTTAATTTGGCATGCTTGGCTTTACCATTTCATGCAAAAATTGGTACTTTTTTTCTGCTTTGGTAATTCCCTCTGGGAAAAAAATCTCTACAATTGTTGAGTGATGATGCCTCAACAGAAAAATTGAAAGCAAATGTGGGTACAAACGCAGAATGAATACAAAGGAATCTGTAAGGACTCTCGTATTATTGCATTGCCAATGGCTGCATGTAGAAGAAGCTGGCCCAGTGAGAGTGACAGCTTTTATCACAACCCCCATCACCCTCTCCCAATTTTTCAATGACCCAATTTGGATTGTGCGTGCTTGGACGCAACTTCAACAAACAATGCTTGCTATCAACGAAATTAAATACATTTACCACAATTTATCGTGAGCACCCGTTAATTCAACTGCACGTGGAGAAGCTGCTTTCTTATTTTGAACTCGTCACATTCACGTTACAATAAAACAATCTTAACGATAGATAGATCAGAATGGTAGATAGATCGGAATAGATAAATAGAATGCATCAACCTCTCCATTGGAGAAGTTGAGTGCATGCCACTTAAGTCAAAGCATTAAGTTGTATGCCAACCAAAGTTTAGTTGGCAATAGAAGCCAAAAACATTTCTCAATGCAAGGACTAGAAAGCCATCCTCTTAATACAAGATTGGACTTTGACATCCTTGGAAACATTTATACACCTTGTATTGAGAGCTCGTGAACTGGACAAAATGTTTTTCAAACTGTACTGAATGAGCTCGTGAAAACACTAACTTTGCCTTGGAACTGTCTTTTTGTCTTGTAATGAACCCCACGTTAATTTCACAACTTTACATAGAAATGACTAGCATTGTGAACGAACCCTCCTACAATTAACATGCGGACACACCAGACCATCCATATCACATCACCAAAGGTCCAGTTCACATTTTCTTGCCTAGATGAGAGCACTCCCAATCATTGATTCAACATTTGTGCATAGTAATTTGCATCAAAGGTCCAACTTAATATGCCTAACATTTCAAATACTTAATGCCATTATCACAAACAATACTTTGTTTTCTTTCTTCACTCCTTTTGTAATATATAACAAAAGAAGTTAAAAGAATATGCTTGAAAAATAGGAAAGCTCAAGCTGGGCATAGAGACAAAGAGGAACAAAGATGAAAAGCAAAAAGAACAAAGGCAAGCAAGCAAGACTTGAGAAGGAACCCAAAATAGACAGTCAGTGGGGAAATATATATATATATATATATATATATAAATTATATCACCATGATAGATAAAGCAGGGCTTTGATAATAGTCACACACATACCATTGAAGCATCTGAGCAAGTGATAGATAAAGTCAACAAAGATACAAAAGCTTTTAGTAGTATATAAAATTTCAGAACATCTACTAACCTCTTCTCTTCAAAGGAAGCTACACTCTCAAGCCCTACCAAATCTTTTTGCTAACTTCCATGGCAAATATTCTCTGCCAGTCACACTTTTGGTTGTTAGTAGATTGAAGGAGAAAAAGGCAACCAACTACACCTAGAATGTTCATCCAGTCTTGTAAGCCTAAAGCTTCTCCCTTTCATGCTGAATATCCATAATCAAAAATCTTACCCAAGAATAAAGAGTAGATAAAACTGAATTTGCAAGCAAGGATGGCAAAATTCATATTCAACTCCCAAAGAAAAAGGAAAAGCAACAAGTTTTAACACTTTATCTAGATATATCAAATGTTCCTCGAGAACTTCAAGCATTCATTGTCAATTAGAGGCGGAAAAGAAAGGCTGTGTTTCCACTTAAAGCAAAATGTGTTATCAAACAAAAAGATAGTCCTCCAGACCTAAAACAAGCTTTTAATTAAACTAAACGGATGATGAAAACAGTAAGAACAACATGAATAGGCCACAGCCAAGATTACAGACATGTGTATACAGCAGAATGTAAAGTAGGATAAACACTCTTTAACAGAACAAAAAGTGTATACAACAGCATTAGACACAAATAAAAGAATATATTGGCTGTATCATACAATTTGATTAGGTACGACGAAAAGGATTTTCACTGATCAACATTATTGATTTTGATCTCCATGAGCTCCTCGATAGGTTGACGGCATATTGGGCATTTATTAGACTGAAGCCTCAATTGTTTTGCACATTCACTGCACATACACTGAAAAAATCGACATTTTCCAATCAGAGAAAGCAGCTGAGTTCATAGAAAGAATAAGACAGAGAGAGAGAGCCACGCATTCAAATTGCATTTAATCTCGTGGCAGATATCTTTATTGACAAAAAAAATGAAACAGTAAAATTTGTAGATTTCATATATTCTTCCATCTAAATATTCTCCTCTCCTCCTCCATCTTCTCCAATGTAAAACAAAGACCAAGAACAATTCTGGTCACAAATATCCACCATACTTGTTGAAGAGTCTAAGCACCAGGGGAGAAAGACCAAATTTAAAATAAATGCCAAAGTTCCATCAATTGTCTGAATAAGCTACACATTAAACTACATGCATTCACTTTTGTGTATCCAGTAACAATACTCTGCCAATTGGAAAACCACAATAAATTAAATGAGTAAAATAGATACCAAAACCAAATAATGACAGATTTGTGAACAGACAAGCTAAACCTCTTGCAAGCTTAAGGACAGGTCAGGCTGGAAATTAAAAGGCAATCTCTTAATACCATGACATTGGATTTAAACCAGTTCACATTGGTTGTACTCAACCTCATGGAAATGCATGTGCCCAACTCATCTGTTAATGGCACTTCATGCCATTGTCTATGAATGTGCATGTACTAGCATAAAGTTGATATTAAAAGTCCAAATCTCAATTCATTTAAATAGTTAAAAAAGTTTTAGATGGACTCTCACCATATGCCGGCATGGTAGCACAGCTGTATCCTTTGGCTCAGTCATACAAATCACGCACTCCTTTCCTGTGTCACTGTCATTAAAGCTTTCTGCAGTTGAGCTTCCAATTCCATATATCTCACGCAGCTCATAGCGAACCCCATCAATCCACAAAATCTGCCTGATTACTTTCACATGGAAAGGGCCCTCATTGTTCTTCTCTATAACAGCTTGAGTAATCTGGGTATTGGAAGATGAATTCGGAGGAGGCTCACTAACATGTTGGTCTGTGGGAAGAGAAGCCGAGCATGTTTCAGCAGAGATTACTAGCGGAAACACATCTTCTTCTGGGGATTGCTTTGAAAGATCTTCCAAAGCAAAGAAGCCCAAGTCAATGCCTGTTCCTGAAGGCTGACGAAATTTCTGGCCAAGTCCTTTCTGAAAAGGGATTTTTACTGGCATAAAGGCTTCAGCGTATAATGGAACAAACTTACAGTTGGGCTCTTCCTTGGCGAAGTAAAAAACAGTGATGCTGTACATAAAAAAATAATAATTAGAAAAAAAACCATCATGCACATGGACACAAGTCCCTGGTGTCTTCCATATTTATTCACACTCATTTATAGAAGAAGCAACAAAAAATGCCAACAAATCAGATCAACATTTTATGTTTCATTACTTCGATTCCACTTAATATGTTCCCAGTAGGATGAATTTTAGATAAATAGGTATGCTGTCAAGGAAATGTACAATTTGTAACTTACAAAATGCAACAGGTCTGGTATTTTGTATTATATAATATAAAATGTTCAGAAGTCCAGAACAAAATAAAAAATAAAATAAAGAACTTATGAAGAATCAACAGTGTGGCTCTGACCAAATCAGGTCACCAATTATCACAAAATCTTCAAGGCCAGTCAATACCAAACTTGTCTCAAAGAATTTCATGTTTACTCTCTGCAGGATTTAACATGTCATGTAATACAGTATTAGCACAAGGATGATACTCGTTGAATCGGATTCATATCATAAAGCACAGATTCATTACATACTCACAAAAATGATAAAAGCATAGAATGTACCAAAAAAAAAAAAAAAAGGGACTGAAGACACATCCATACGATCGTGTGTGGTTTAACTGAGGTTATAGCCACAATGGCATAAAAAGATTTATGCAGCTAACTAAAATAGCTGGAGAAAGGTTTTGCTTAGTTAAAAATATGCGGACCCAAGTAACTGGATTAAGGTTAAAGTTGAAAAATTCTACAATATCACCCGTAGATTAGTTATAACCCAACAAGTGAGAAATGCAGTAGATGCAATCTGAAAGACTACATAACAGTAGTAAGTGTGCATGTAAAACTCACATATTCAATGTGCCATTTCAATCTGATGAGCCAGGTTTCATTGAATTAGTTTCTCTCCAAACCCCCCAACCACCTTCTGTCTCTCTGTCTCTCTCACACACACACACACACACGCAAGGCCAATAATAAATAGAAAGCACAACAATAGGTTTTCAACCATGCAAGGCCATACTCCTATTATGCTCATTCATTTTTGCCAAACTAGAGTACCACCTTCACATTGACAAACAAACAAAAGGAGATATATTTCTCTTCGTCTTATCACACACATGCGTGTGCCTGTTCCAGACTAGGACTTGAACACCGGAGATAACAAAGTAGGGAACCTGGTGGCAACTAAAGGAGAACATCCTTGCAACAAATAAATTGCATTTTATCATATTATATTAAAAATTGAAAATTTACTAACAGTACCTATAAAATAAAATAAAAAGCCAAAAAATAAAAATAAAAATAAAAATAAAAAGTCAATCCACTAGGACATGCAAACCCACCAAATCAAACAAACCCTACTACCCCAGGCTCTTAAAGGGGATGCATATTTTGGACTTCTTTAGATGTTCAATTTTAACTGAAATTCATGAACTGTATCAACCTTCAACAATAATATTCCTCGGTTCAAATTTTAGCCAGCTTTACTCCTGATAAGATCAAGTCTTCAGCCTTAAAGACCCATGCCAAGCAAGGAAAAATATCAGTGAACATTGGATCATAAGGGCAACCACCGAAGTTCAATTTCATAAATTGATAGACTGCACCATAAAAGAGAGACAATTGACAACAGTACTATGCTACAGCCAATGATCTCCATACTCTTTAAGTCACTGCATACTAGATGTAAGAGCATTGAGTGCCTTCACTACACTTTTAGCTGGATCAAACATGCCAGCAAGCTTAAAGTTCTATTTTTTTTTTTCCTACTTAATGTTCTATTGAGTGAGTATAATTTCTGGGTTGATTGTTTCACTTCTGTATCTTTCAAAAGGAAAGAAGATCTCTGGGAGTTGTTTCATGGATCCGAAATAGAGTATTTGAGTTCTCCCAAATACTAAAAAATGTATCATGCCTGAATCTAACTAGAGTTCGGGGTGGTGGAGGAACTGGATCGGAAAAAAAGATGGATTCTAGTTGGAAGATATCTAATGAAACCATCGCTGGAATTCAGATCTTATTCAAAGAGAAAGACATCAAATATCTGGAGTTTTATTTTGTATATCATATGGGAATTGTTTGACTGTCTCTCTGAGGAAGAGGCAAAATATAATCAACTTGAATTCGGGAACGCTATTCGAAATCTCAATCAGTATTGAAGGGATGAACGGAGATGAGTCTACACGAGGCAAAACACTCAAAAGAGGGAGGGAGGGAGGGAGGAGAGTATGCAGTGAGGTTCCATACGTCTTGTCGAATCATTGAACCTTCTAGATAGCTGAATTAAGGCATTTATATGGGCAAATGAAGACATGATGAAGTCCTTTTACAGTAGTTTTTTCAATCAACGACTCCCAACAGTTAACAGATATGGTACAGGTATTTTGGCAGAGAAATGCCATCCAAGTAGTTAAGCACTACAGTACAATGGCTTTGACGGAGTCCTCTAAGATAAAGTGCTTAATGCTAACTCCTGATATAAACCCACTTTCTTAATTTAAGTTGTCAAGCTCAAGATCACTCTTTAAATTGACCTAATAACTTTCAGTCTTTCACAAATCTATTAGACTCCTACTCATTTCATTTGAAAACAAAAATATATATATATATATATATATATATATATATATACACACACGTATGTATTCTAGAGTTTTTCCCAACATCAACCCCATCTCCAAGTCATATTATCATGTACCATCTCAAAACCTCCCCAACACGTTCCTAATTTCAATCTCCTATTAAATGTTCTCTACTTCAATTAAACTTTAAATTAAGTTGCTCATATATTCCAAAACTTGGACTTACTTTGTTTATTTAGTCCTACTTAAATTCATTGGTATCAATTAATCATTCCATTCAGGATTCCTTACTTTATCAAAGTGTCGGATTTCTAAATTCTCATAGCAACCCCCCACCCCGTGCGGGAATTCCTTCTAGAGCATGTTGAATAATTTCTATGGATCTTTCCGAATCGGCTACCAGTAACAGCAACCTACCAAATGGTCCACAATTTTCCAATTATGCCGTCTACTTTATCCATTTGCTTGTTAATTTTCCATATCTCAAAACCTCACCACACAGGTAGGTGACTTGTCTAAGCACTGGCTCAGAATCTAGATGTCTCAAACCTGAATTTTCTCATGCATCCGTGGGGATTAGTCTTGATTCGAAATAGGTGGAGCCCATTGGTGTAACAAAAATTTTCCATGTTTCAAATCCCTATTAATCCTTCTCCCACACTCATTCTGAATAGACCAAAAATCTTGCCTTTCTCTCACCAAAACAGGAAATACCTTAGCTACCCTTGACAATTTCTCAAAGTCAAAGACACCATATTTTGATATATTATGTCACATAAGGGGAACGCTTCAACATTTGCTGATATACTCCATGGAAGCAACTGGTCAGCTAATTAAATAATCTATAAAATTAGTGAAATATCCTCATACTAGAAGCTAAAAAGGCTAGGAAACTTGTAATTATTAAGGGATTTCTTTCCTCTTTTTGCTAATCTACCATCAGTTTCATTTCCTATGCAATTCTACTTCCTATAATGTCTCTCCCTCGGTTTATTTATATTTTTCTGATAAGAAACTAGAATACTACTAGAAAGACGGTAAAATTAGTACAATTTAGTATACTGTACAATTTCTCTTTTGGCACAACCTCCACCTCCTTTGCCACCATTCTAAAGAAGGCAAAAGAATAATTAAGAGAATTAGGGCGGAAGTATCTTCTTTTCATGTCCACAGAAACAAAGTTGGTTATGAAACAAATTTGTTTACAAATACATAATCAAGCAACTTTTCTACGTGCGGAGAATAATTTTAAAAACTAGAGACATATTTCCACCTTTTTAGAGTTCCAACTCAACAAAGCAAGACAACATGAGATATGATAAAAATGGTTTGCCATTATTTAAACATTCTAAAAAAGAAAAATTATGGAGAATAATTTAAGTGTCAACAAGTGAATCCCAAACAAGAGATGAAAACCAAAAGGGAGAAGGGGAGTTCCTTTCACTCTTAAACTAAATCTAAGGGCTTCCTTAACAGCCCTAGTCCCTGAATTACCAACTCAAGCAGAAAGTAGCATCATTTTACAACCTAATAATCCTCCAAACACAACCAGTTAACCGAGTATTTTAACAAAGAAATGAAATGTACAAGAGGCTGGAAGTGTGTGAAATCTCATCACTGAAAGGCAACACAATGGCACTGATGAGACGTGTGCGCAGCCTTCAAATCTTAATAATTTCAGTGATGTACACCAAAAGTAGTCTTGTTATTGCTATACATGCCCACACATAAAAAAATAGATCTAATCAAACATAAACCCTCAAAGACATCAATAACATGTGATAAATTTCAGGGCTCAGCAATAATTGGTAAACCAGGTTCCATTAGATTAGCTATTTGCTGGAGCTGATTACAATATAACAAAGTGCTAGCTATATAGAATTGCGTAGAACTCCTTTCTCTGCTTCACTAGCCCCATTTTCTCACATTAGCCAATTCCTTCTTCATCACTGTATGTCATACTTCTGAGCCAGTACGACCAAGAAGGGAGCACCAAAGTTCAGTTTAAATATCTCTTAAACAATAAAAGGTACCAACTTAGCTTGCTTTTTTCACGCTGGGGAGAAGGGGGAGCTTCATCAATTCTCTTCAACTGTAATGCCTCATTAAAGCACTTGTGAGCCTTTTACTTGAAATCTACCAAAGAAAACCTTATAAATAAACCAAGAGTAAACTATCTATCTTCCCAGGTAACATAATTCATCACCCTCTAGCACTATCACCATCCCTTCCAAAAACATTAAAAAGCCTAAGAAAACACACAGTAAGTAATCTACACCTATATATAATATCCTAGCAAAATAATTAGTCAGTATTCCAAAGATAGTTGATCTAATGAGATATTAAACGAATTGTATAACTTTAACTCCTATAGTAGAATGAGATGTTAAACGAATGATATAAATTTAACTCCTAGAGTAGAATGGAAAAATAGGATTCACATAAACGACCCCAAGTAGTTGGGAAAAGGCTTTATTTGGTGTCGCCGTTGATATATTTCAACACCTATAACAATTGCATCCTCGTGTACAGACTTCCAGCAGAACAAAAACTATAAACCATGGGCTCACTTAGAGATAAAAATTCCAAATCTCAAATTTTTGGTCTTCATCCCAGCATGGAATGTCCATAAGTTTCTACTACGTGAAAAGGTTTGTTGGTGATCCCCTGCATTCATTCTACATCTGCTTCCGCTCCTATATCTCAGTTAGCTTATCAGAGGTACTAGTATCTGATTTATGGAGGTCGTCTTCTGTTTTAACTATCATCCTAATTCACAATTAACAATGATATGCCGCCTCACAAGTCACAACCAAATTAATACTCCGTACACTACAAGCAATCAATTAATCAATTACCTTTCATTTGTTGTACATTACACAGATTCAAAACTAGGAAAACAAAGGACATCATCAAAATATATATTGACACACAGAAGCATATATATAGAGAGAGACACACACACACATAATGGTGCATAGAAAGTCCTTACCTCCCGTCGAACAATGCGTCAAAAACGAATGAAACCAAATGATGATCAGGGTTCTGCTCATCAATTTCAAGCTTTAATGTATCTTTATGCACATTCACGTCATTCCTGACCTTCTTGGCGTGCTGATGGTCTACATACTGCGGCCGCGGCGGTGGCGGAAGAGGCGGCCGCATTCCGGTCCACCCATTGGTCTGATAAGTGTAATAAGGGACGAAATTGGAGCGGCCCACCATAGGATTAGCGTAATTGCAGGCACTGTACCCACCAGAATAGTGGTAGGAAGAGTAAATCGGAGGAGGAGGAGGTGGTGGCGGACCTGGTGGTGGAGGCCCAGGAAGAGGAGGTGGTCCAAGTGGAGGAGGGTGGTGCGTGGGATAAGCGTAGGGAGAGGGCGCAGGATAAGGTTCAGAAGGGTAAGGATACGAAGACGAAGAAGAAGAAGAAGAGATGAGTTGAGAAGGTGGGTGAGGGTTTTGATAGTAAGTGTTGTTTCTCCTCCTTCTGCTGCTCCATGATAGACCCATCAAACTATACACACACAAAACACACACACACAGATCGGGTGTAGGAGATGATGAAATTGGGGTGCTTGGAGAGAGAGAGAGAGAGAATAGGGATTAAGCGATTAATGGAGGGGGAAAGGGAAGCTGAAGAACTGGGTGTGTATATACATATATATGATTTATATATATATCTGTGTATGATTGCAATCCGTGTACAGTTGAAGAGTTGAGAAAAGGATGTCAATTTGTGTGTCGACGAAGGAGAAAGCGTACGGCAGCCTCACGGTGTGGCATTTCAACGCATCCAAACCCGTCTCTCTCTTTCTCTGTGAAAACGATGACCCAACCACAAGGCTAACAGGATCCAAGCAACAAAGGGTCGAATCATACCACTTATGCAGCTGCTACTAAATAAAGTCTTAATGACAAATTAGAAGGAGGACTTGTGATCTAGTGAATGGATATACATAGGTTGGGTGTTTGGTTAATAATTTAAGATTTTAAGTTGGATTGCGAAACACTCCATTTATTATAGTTGGTATTTAAGTAAAAGACTTTGATCCGGCAAGTATCCAAACATCGAATGGGTAAGGGTGGCTCGAATTTGAGTGTTTTAAGCAGTCATGTAGTTGGAACTTAGCGGTAAATCTAATCTTTCAAAATGAAAAGCTCATTGTACGTAGTTGATCTCAATTGTGTAAGTTTTCTAAAAGAAAGGTCTCAATAAGATCCAAATAACTTGGTTAACATAGCATTATTTGAGTGTTTAAGAGCTTCTCTAGTTGATTTCAGCCTAGTTTAGATTTAAAAGCTCTATGGAAAAGAACAGGTGAGTGAGTTGCTAAAATGATTTGAACAAGTTTCTAGTTGTCTTAATCTAGTGAATCTTGATTTGTTTCACACCTCTCAATAAACTAAGGTGTTTTTACCATCCAAGGTATTAATAATGAACATTTCTCTTGAGAAATAAGGACAAACAACCTATCATTGCCTCTGTTGTGAGATGTTGGTTCAATCTGCCTTTTTTGTAACCATTGGGCCCTTTAGGTTTTCCCTGAGCCAATCATGCTATAAGAGAAGGCTACTCCTACGAGTTAAGTTCCTTTTAATTAGGAAAGTTGACTTCAATACGAGTACACCCGTTTCGAAAACTAAGGACTCTGCCAATTAGGCCGCTTCGAAAAACTAAGGACTCTACCATTGCCTATGTTGTGAGATGTTGGTTCAATCTGCTGTTGTTATTATTATTATTTTGTAACCATTGGGCCCTTTAGGTATTCCCTTAGCCAATCATGCTATAAGAGAAGGCTATTTCTATGAGTTGAGTTTCTTTTAATTAGGAAAGCTGACTTGAACACAGGTATATCTATTCGAAAACAAAGAGTTCTACCAATTAAACTGTTTCAAAAAATTAAGCACTCTATCAATTAGACCGCTGGATAATACCAAATTGAGTTTTTTTAACCAGGGCCAACCTAAAGATGATTTCTACTGCAGCGTTTGGTTTATTTTTTACAATCATTTACCGGGGATGAGTTGAGCTCATGTGCTAGTGGGCCTCTTATCAATTATCATATCATATGGACATGAAAAGCCATGGGGAGGACACCTCTATGAATTTTGTCTTGATCTACATACACATCATGACAGTTATTGGTAAAGTTACAAGTAAGTATAAAAAGTTAATTACTTGGATACTTTTAATATTTTGTGTTGGGAAGGAAAACTGCAGATGAACATCATTTTTGGCCTTACTTTTTTACTGGTGTGACTATTCTTGTGGCTTACCAAGAAAATAAAATGACCATTCTTGTCATTGAAATTACAGACATCATCACTCTTGTTGGCCCTAACTTTACCATTCTAAGAAAAATGGTATTTTAATTGATAGATAATTTAGCCTTAAAAGATAAGTTAAAAACTTATTTGTTGTTAGATGTGTTTTAAGTGGGATTTATAATTTTTACTTAAATATATTTTAAGAGTACGAAATCCCTTCGACTAATATTTTAGACTTGAAGTATCGACTAGAGTAGTAATGTTGAAATGCTAAACAATAACCTTATATAATGAAGTTGGCATATCAAAATTGTGTACTTAAATAGTTAAATGTATGTGAATGTGTAGATATCTGCACCAAAGAGTTGCAAAATAACTCCACTAACCATAAGTGGTAAACCAAATTAATTGGTTTTCAGTTGATAATGCATGAAAAATGGCTTTTAATCAGATATTGCAAAATGACACAGAAAATACTAAATCCAACTTGTCCAACCATCTTGCTTAGAAAGAAAAAAAAAATTCTTGAAATTAAGAAGAAACAAAGATCCAAAAGTTACACTGTCATTTCATTAGTTTCTTTTCATCATTTTTAATACATGCGTGTAACATACAAATTCGATTAATGATGACATAAAAATAAAATTGATATACCATAGTCCAGTTCTGTTAATTCCAGCAACTTGGTCAAGAAAGGTATTTTGTCAACAAAAATCAGGCATTGGTTTAAACATGGATTTGGATTTTAAAGGAGTTGATAAGAGTATTGATTCAACATGTGACATGCAATTCCTTATAAATTTATTAATTTAATTTGAAATGGTGACGTAACACAGTCCCATCTTTTAGAACAGATAAATGATTGGACCTCTCCATTGTAACGATTTCATGAACCTCAGTGTTCTCTTTTACTCTAAATTTGAAAATGATGGATTGTGATTTGAAAAGGTTGTGGGTCATTAATCCATGAACTGCAAGCAATTAGAACTTTGTTTACACACATATATGATAAGTGGGGTAGGGGGCTAAAAGAAACCAAAAGCTCCCACCATATATATTCCAAGCTTCATGATGGGATCGCATATTATATATATATATATATATATATATATATATATATATATATATATATTGGGTAATATGGATCGCATATGATTTTGCTTCACCTTTCATCATTATAGTTCCGTGGCTTTATATATACTTTTCTTCACATTCTTGCATGAGCATAGTGCGAAATATAAGGTGTTCAAATGCCCCCTTGTGCTCTCAAATTCACGTCATTTGGTTGATCAATGAAGAGATGTTTAAGGCCATTGAGATGAGCGTATGAACAGAGAGGACAGGTGGGTGGTGATGTTGAATCACCAATTACTCCAAAAGTTAAAAAAAAAAAAAAACTCAATAATGTATATCAAGATTCAAACACACTCTCATTCTAATCCCATGTGATGAGACGAATAAACCAAATCAAGACCGGAATAAGTGCAAACTTGCAAAACAAACTGGAAAAGAAGATATAATGTTAGATCATCAATTACTCCAGAAGTTAAAAAAAAACTAGTAGAAAATGAATCCAACAATGTATATTAAGATTTAACGTAACGTTAAGAATGCAACCCTGCATAATTAGAAAATGAAAAAAATTCCTATGTCCTTGCTCTTAAAGTCGTCTACTACGAGGCGAGGCCAAAAAAATAGCCATTGCAACAAACGGGCTTTATACAAAATAGTTGGAAATTCAGCATTGATCAATTTCTGTCGAAATATTTCATTCAAATCAAGGGAAAAAGAGAATTCGAGTGGCGAGAAAAAGAGAATTCAGATGGCCAATCCCATCCATACGAAATAGAACTAAGGATTATGACACGACAATGATGAATGCTGACAAAATTCCTACACGACAATGATGAATGCTGACAAAATTCCTACCGGAGGGGAATTTTTTTACCTATTCTAATGATACGTTTTAATGGGTCATGTTTACTTTAGAAGAAAAATAAACTACCAGATAATAACTCATCAACAGAATGAATAGGGTAAAGCTGAAATTATGTCGATTAGTTGCATCAGTGATAACACCAAACTGACACTCTTCAAATCATGGTGTACTAAAGAAATCATATATACACTAAATGTATAGTTGGAAAGACAGTCCCACCCATTATAAAATAATAGACATCTGTCTAAAACTACATGTGATAAACAATGCAACTTTACAAATTAAGAACAACAAACATCAAAGGTGCTGAGTAAAAGATAAACAAAGCCTTGTAAGAAGGGTGGCTGAAGAATTTACAAAGAACATAAGACTTCATTTTTCATGGTGTTCTTGACAAGGGTCTATCTTGATTATAAGTGGCTGGTGGAGATCTGCAGGTGGATCAGAGACAACCGGTAGTTGGGGCGAGTTTATAACACTATCTACATCCTCATTTTCAGCCAGTGCTTTTTCCAGAGCAGCCTTTGCAACTCTAGTGACACAAACCATTAGAACCACTGCAAACAAAAGAAATCAAGTGAATTTCAACATAATATATAAACTTCCTAAATTTAGAAAATTAAATTACAGTTTTTCTAATTATTATTATTATTTTTTTTGGGTTGAGATAGAAGCTAATTTATTAGGTGTTTATTTTATTTTATTTATATATATATGTGTGTGAGTATTTACTTGTTGAGGAGTGGATGAGTCAAAATATTCACACGACTGCACTGATTGAAGGATAACTTGTGTTGTTTCATGTTTTACCTTCGAATCTAGAAGCATGATACTCTATCATAACCTTCGAGGTTCAAATAAAAAATATAAATCATTCTCTACTCACTTTATCATACAAGTTACAAAGAAGATAATAGTTAAACATACAATGATAAAGATATTCATATTCTATTTATATGATTATGATGCATTAATTTCTATTGACCCAAAAAATGAAAGAAGACCAAAATTTCTGTCTACTTTAGGAAGATTAATGAGATTTCCCATTTGGGGAGGGGGGGTGTGTAGAGATCAAACTGCTGATGTACATGGAGAAATCAAATAAAAAATGAGTGAGTTGCATGTCTCCATTTTGTTCAGCTCTTTTTTGAGTTTATTTATATTTATGCTCTGACCTCTGAGGGTGCACTTGAGAAATTCATCAGTAATTCAAGTTTCAACCCTCACTTATTTTGAATACTGCTAGTTCCAGGAATCAAGGTGTTAAAAAATCACATTTTGTTCAGCTCTTTTTTGAGTTTATTTATATTTATGCTCTGACCTCTGAGGGTGCACTTGAGAAATTCATCAGTAAGTCAACCCTCACTTATTTTGAATACTGCTAGTTCCTGGAATCAAGGTGTTAAAAAATCATACTTACTGATCATAATATTGATTTGCAATGGTACTCCTTGATAAGCATTTAGTTAAGGAATTTTTCAAAGAAACATATGATACAAGTAGAAAGCCAAAGAACATTAACATATTGACCCAAACTGATCACACACAAACATATGTGACTCACCAGACACCACAAGGCCCAATCCGATAAATGCCTGCATGAACAATAAAGGAGTAATTGTTAAATTCACAGCAATGAACCTAGCAATGACCCTCAAAAAAATATAACTTGTGCCCTACAAGCACTTCAAGAACCCCAACTATGACAATGAAACTGTGAGACTAAAGATGCCCATAAGTTGAGCCACAGGCCTCGTTTTAAATTTATTAAATTAAGTCCAGGGTCTTCAGTTATTCTAAAATGAAGAAATTCAGGCCTAAGCCTAGTCTATACACGTATGGTTATTCAACTATGCCAATTCTTAATTATAATTAAGAAGTCCTACTTACGCAAGGTGATGGGAAGGGAAGGCTGAAGAGGACCTAACATTTGGCATTATTTTGTACTAGGTAGTTGCTCAGTGCTCTCTGAGGAGGAGGAGGAGGAGAAATACAAGCAATCCCAAAAATATAAGTATTTCAATTCCATTGACCAAACTGCTCAAACACAAAAAAAACTATTTATGATATTAGAGTTAGCTGTGGCTCATTTTAAGAGCAGTTCTAATTACTAATTGATATATCCTATCAGTCAATATACGAAGTGTCACAGAATTAAAATTTCTTGCTCAAAATTTTTTTTTTTTTTTTTTTTTTTCTGATAAGTAAGAATTTATTAAAAACGCTCAAAAGGGGAGCAAAGCCCAAAGAAAAAAAAGGGCCAAAGGGCGCCTTAGACCTTCAGAGAGGCCAAGAAAACAATAATTTCCTCCATAGATCTATAATCTCTCCCTGAAACCCAACAAAAAAATTGACAAGAGAAAAGTATCAAAATGACCTATTATTGTTCAGTAAAGTATAAGAACTTGAGATTATAAAAGGACTCTCGTCTCTATGGGTTGGAAATCAAAATTGTTTTATAGATACAAAGTAAAGCAATGGAACTAATGACTTATGGAGGGAGGAGAGGGGCCGTTTCATAAATTTAAGATATGGAGACAAGGATATGACCTGTTTTATTTTATTACAAACAGGTTTACCATTCTAACTTAAATCAGCGGGATAAAAAAGATGAGAATATTTACAAGCTTTCTTAAACTATGGATGAACAGGAAAAAAAAACAGATGACACGGCTCTTACCCAGCGAGATTTTGAAAACTCATTCCATCCATGTGTCACATCAGAAAGATCCTTTAGAGTTGTTCCAACATATACCAACACAAGAGTAATTGGCTGTACCAGGAATCAAACTAGATACATCAGCAAGAATGGAAGCAGATCAACTAACCAAGTATTAAAGGATGAAGATATGTACGTGTGACCAACAGGCCAGTGGCCTAGCGGTACCAAGCCCCTACTTCTCAAAGAGAGGTCAGGGGTTCGAGCCTCAGTGGAGGCATGTGTGTGTGAGTACCAACTAGGAAAAAAAAAAAAAAAAAGATCTGTACGTGTGCATATATATAATCAGGCCAATTGCCAAAACAAAGTTCACAGATATTACTGATAGCTGATGATAATTCCAATTTATGTAATAGAGCTTTTGATAATGTGAATAACACACCAAAACACTCTTTGGTATAAAAAAACTAAGTAATAGTACTTCGAGAGAGGTGTGAATACCATCATTCCCAACCATGAAGCCAACACGTACTCCCCTATTGGAACCGGAGTCACGGACAAGAGGTAATTCATCATATTAAATGGAAGTAAAGGAACAAGCCGAAGCAGCAAAACAATCTGTCAATGAAACGAGAAGATTAAAATTCTTAAATTAGAGAATTATAGACATTAATAAGTGGTGGCAACTAGCATTATTATAGGTCGAAGTACATTGTAATGACAAACCTCTCAAGCAACAATATAGAAACTGAAACTCCCTAAGGCTGCATTCATCATTGCACTAAAAAACACAGTATGATGTTACATCACCATTGCATACACGATTTAAAGACATCACTCAGAATTCTTATTCATCTTTTAATTACATAAATTTTGGGATCAGCAGTAAAAATTGATCCCCTGCTCTTTATTTCAAAAGGCCATGCTTGCACCACGATGCTACAATGGCTTTAGCCTCATGCAACTCCTTTATCTTTCTTCCTTTCCAAGACACGTACAGAATCCTCTAAAATTGACAATCTGAGTAACTATGACCTCTTAAATGAATAAGACAAAACTGATAACAGGACAAAATGGTAAATCAAGTGTAAACCTTAAAACCAGATCTCTGAATTGCAATTGCAACTGCCTGGAACTGCGGATAATTCTTTAACTTGGAAATAACAAACGATCTCCCAATCTGTACAGAATATTACAATGAGATTGATGTACTTATTTAATATAAAACACATATGAATAATCTAACTTTAAGGAGGGGAAAAAAAAGGTTGAAGGAACCACCAGAGGAATAAATTCGAAGGAGCAAAGAAGTAAATAGCCGATAAAAAAATGCTTGTTATGGAAAAAATTTGCTACTCCTTCCATCCCAGTTTAAAAGTCCATTTTGAGGATTATAACTTTTAACAAAGTGGCATTTAATGCATCCAAATTACTTTGGGGGAGATTGAACCAAACCATATCTAATTACGTAATTTTTTATAATAAATATTTGTGTGCTAACTTTTTTTAAGAAGGGTAAATTGAGGATGTTGTGGAAAAAAAAGTATATTGATTTTTAAAAAGAGACAATTATTTCGAGACTTCCAAAAATGAAAAGAGAGATATTTAATATGGGATGGAGAGAGTATGTGTAAACTGGCAAGACCCATCACTGCTTGGCAGCAATGAGTCTTCTGAATAAAATATTTATTATAGAAGGATGCCCTATTTTCGAATGTGTAACTATAACTAGAACAAGAATGTCAATATATATCATCATTAGAATTTAGAAACATACTGTTCTTCCAATAAAGAATGCAGCAGCTGCGCCAATTGTTGCACCAAATGAATCGGCAACAAAACCCACCGGCAAGCCAAATAGATAACCGCCACCGAGCTGGAGGAACATATCAACTGGTAAGGAGAACAAATATAGGTATAAAACTATCATAACCTCTCATGAACATCATGAGCCTAGCCAAGACCTAGATATGACCTCTGTACTTGTGTTACCAAATCGCATTCAAGGGATTAAATCTTTGGGTTCCCGTACTGTTCTTCAAAGACGGTGCATTTTATTTTTTACACCGAACAACATATGTGATACATGCATGTCCGATTATTATTTCAAGAAGTGGTGTGCCTGTTGCCTCTGACAGACATGTGAAGTTCACTAGCTACTTTGGACAGACTTTGTCACATTTACTGAGATACTAAGCTATTTCATTTCTTTTCATCCTCCAGGCTGCAAATAGCATGAGATTGTCAACAGAAGCATCGGGGAACTACTTTTTATTGCTTGGTGGTATATAGGTTGACTACTTGGAACCAACAGGCCAGTGGCCTAGTGGTACCAAGCCCTTACTTCTCAAAGAGAGGCCAGGGGTTCGAGCCTCAGTGGAGGCATGTGTGTGTGAGTACCAATTGGGAAAAAAAAAAAAAGGTTGACTACTTGGAATGGTGTTACCAATGGCTGAGTTCGAGTACACTAGTTTTGCTTACAGAACCACAGCCTCTTTGACATTATGTTGGGCTTGCAACCAATACAATATGCAAAATGTGTGAGATTATTTCATGGAAATTGCAGAAGAGTAATAACATTCATCTCTGTATTAAACAATCAATTAATTCTTACTGTAAGTACTGAAGCAGGTACTGCCAGAACAGTGAGAGGGATATATGAGATAGCCCTGCAAAGTTCCCCAATAATATATGAGTCAAAAGGTACAGAAATTCTATGCTACAAATATTATGGCTAGAAGTGTCCTGGAATTTTAGTTATTTATTTATTTTCTTGGTTGGACTGTACACAGCTAAGACACGACATAGACATAGCTGGGACATGGCATAGACACGAATGGGACATGACAAGATGTCCTTCTGTGAAACTTTCAGGACAAGGAAGATTAGTTTTGAAATTAATTATTTAAAAAAAAATTTTAAAAACAGAGTTTCAATGTAATTTTAAACCATAATATGGGTTAATTAGACAAAATATATATATATATATATAGAGTCTTAGAAAACAAAAACAGCATCCACCCAACTGAAAGTTGTAAACTAGTGATTAAATTCATGATAATGTAGCAAAAACAGTAAAAATCTTATATATATATATATATATATATATATATATATATATATCATTGGGTACGTTTCATGTCGTACCCATAACCATTGTTGTATTCGTGCTTCCTAGCATTACGACATTACTCAATTAACCATGTTAATGCCCAAGTAAGATGTGTACACCAAATATATCATGGTTTACTACGTCTCCGTGATTTCAGGAAGCAACCTAAGAGTAGGAAAATCTTCTCACAGAATTGGGTTTACAATCATTTTAATATATAAAAATGAAGCCCGAACAAAAGTCACAATCTTGCGCCACCACTTCCACTGTTCCACCCAAAGAAAGGTAACTAATTGATGTAATAAAAAAGAACTTATAACAGGCCAAACAGCTAATTCTAGCGCTGCATTATTTTCAATATGCAAAATAGACATAAGTGAAAATGATCTATGGAACACACAAGGAAAATATATAATAGTATCACACTATCTACTTTTTAAAGTGTTGATGTTTCTAGAGCTACATGAAATATTATGATCAGCATAGTTTATACAAAGCCTACATAGCATAACTTGCCCATCACTTGAGCAAAATGATTGCCAATCTGCAGTTTCAATATTGTAGGAGCCAAGACACTAAAATACATCAATTCAAATCTCTAAATGCTGACTAGCGAAAGAATAGAAAAATGAAGCTTCAGATTTCCCAAAACCCACAAAAAATCCTTGATGAGGAATTATCATCGTCCTTGCCTGTTCCCCAAATTAATGGGCTTGGCCACATGGATTCTCTTTCTCCATTCTATTCTATTATATACCATGTTTCTTCTAATATTTAATGTTTAAAGTCATATGTCCTTGATGAGGAATAATATAGTTTCTGGAGCAATTAAAAAATATCTAATCAAATCTGCAATATCTATAATAGGTGATACTGATACCTATAATACAATATGTAGTAGTACTATGGTTTTTTTAAACTAAAAAATGATACCTACGAAGAATATTTAATATATTTCAAAGATAAAAATAATTATATATACATCAAAAAACAATCCTAAGTGAAACAAAAATTCAAAATTTTTACTCCCACACACTTGCACTCCCTACGCTTATGTTCACTTGGGATCAAAACCCATGGCCAGCTCTAGATCAAGCATTGAGCACTATGTGATGTATATTTATTACCTCACAATCTTCCTTGAGCTGGCCAGGTTAGGCTACTAGAGGTACATTAAAATTGCAAAACCAAGACCATGTCCATGCAATAGTATACAAGTATAAGGTCGGAAGAAGACACTTCCACTAAGATCATGTAATCAAGTCAGTATCCAGTCCATCTCCAGCATCCAACAGGAACCAACACTGGGTAATGTAATCAAGAACACAAAGAGACTTACCGCTCACCTTTACCCAAAAAAAGAGACTTACAGTTAATAAGTAAGTTGCACAGCATGAGAAAGAGTTGCAAGTTCACTTACAGCACAAGGGGACCCCAAGGCCCAAGATCATGTTCAATCCATAGTAAGAAGTCCTTCAGTATCTGCAATAAGGAATTCTTTCACCCAATGTATAACAAAATAAATCTAATAACTTGAAAAGATAAAGGTTCAATTATACAGGCTTACTGTCAACATTGCTGTTACAGTTAGCCCTAGGTTCTTTAATCTTTTAAAATGTTTAGAAGACAAAGAATCCAAACCGGAACCAATTGTCATGGCCAAATTTTTTAAAGATAGATTAGCACACAATTAAAGTGATCCAAACAAGTTGTGGCAGGATAATGTTAAGAGAAAGCAAGTTACACAGTAGATAATTAGTAAGACCAAAATTTCCATAGATTAGCAAGATTCAATTTAGAGTTTGGATAGATGATTTCAATTCATCAGGTATCGAACATTAGGAAAATAAATTAAACAAACCCGTAGTATCGTGTCCTAATCAATGAATTGAACAGATTCCATGAAATAAATCATTAAAACTAAAACAGCCGAAGAAAAAAAAAAATCCAGCTCAAAAACCATCAAAAAATGTAGAGACAAAAAGGAACAAAATTAACTTAGTAAAACAACGAAAAAACACAAGACCCATGTGTGAAGTTAAACTTTTTAGGATGGGTAGAGTAACACTTCGATATCAATGAAAAATCACTAAATTATACACTAGATTGAAGGACACCCTAACATGTCCGCAAAAAATAATGATCTAAACAATCTAACAAGTTACAGATGAAAATAGAGCGACCCAGATGAGAAAATCGGACCTTTTCGATGGGGAGAGTGAGGCAAGCGGTGGTAATGGCGGCGAGAAGGAAGATGAGGAGGGTGATTTTGAGGACGGAGAGCCAACTGAAGGCCATGGGTAGCCTGCGACGCCAAGGCCTGCAGTCCTCGTCGTCCTGCTCCTCTGATAGGGCAAGCTTCAACGACAGGCGAGGCCTCAATCCCCCTATGTTTGCCAGATTTAGTTTAACCCCCAAAACGCCAAAAAAATATATATATGTGGAAGCTCAAATTTAGCCCATTCAAATCGGCACACTCTTTCTGTGACTGTGTGTTCAATAAATCTATCCACCAGTAAAATGTATTATGAATCTGCCGAGAAATATCGAGAATTTTGGACTTTGCAGAAGAAGAAACACTCTCTCTCTCTTACCTACTCGTTCTCTCTCTTACCCACTCGGTTACGCATTCGGACAGAGAACTTAACGCACAAGATAGTCATTGGAACAACTTGGAAGCGGTCTTCTCCCACGTAGGATATACAGCAGAGACTATACATGAGTTAGCACAGTTAATAGTTTAATAATTTGATGGTTGGAGTTCCTCTTCTTTTAATTAATATAAAAATATATATTAGGAAGATAAAGAAAGAATAATTTATTTATGATTTCATCAAGTAATTTAAATGTTATGTTTCATACATTAATAAAACTGCTGTGTGATGGAGATTTGCTTCACATATAAATAAAACTATTGTGTGATGCAGATATTTTATGTTGGATATATTATTTATTAAAAATCAAGACTTATAATCATAAATAAACCAGTTAAATTTCATCATGATAGGTACATGCATAATTTAAATAAAAGAATTATGAAAAAAGAAATACTGTATTTATTATATTATTAAACTATTTTATTTGCTTTTTGTTTTATAATTTTTTTTAAAAACAAAATAACAACAATCACAAGACTAAATGATACATTGTAACTGCTAACATTCATGTGGAAAACATGCTGCCATAACTTAAAGTTTTGGGCAACGGACTGTTTGACTAGACCTTGTTAGTCGTCAATAACATCCTTGCCTCTTTATAGAAGTATAACTTTCCTCGTTAATATTTGGAATTTGGACAAAGCGAGAAAAACATTTTTAATATTTTAATTTTGAGCAAATTATATTTATATTTTTTATTTTAGTTATATAATTCTGTTAAGTTTGAAAAAATGAGTAAAAAATAACTTATGTTGTGTGTTGTGTATATAAGTATGTTAAGTTAAAAAATAAATAAAAAAGGTTTGAAGTCACTATTAAAAGGGCAAAATACAGAAAATCTCCTCGACTTGTAGCATTTTTCAATAAACTCCTTTCGTCTAATTTTTTACCAAAAAACCCCCTGGACTTATAACCCTTTTTCTAATAAATCCCTCTTGCCTAATTTTTTACCAAATAACCTCCCTCAACTATTTAAAAGAGTTAAAATTAGGACCAAAATGCCCTTTTATTTAAATTTTAATTTTCTCGAACTTCAAAAATTTATATTTCACAAACCATACATCCAAATATTACAAATAATATATAAACGGAAAGTTTATAAAACAAGGATTCTAGAAATATAAGATTTGTTTAACAAAACTTCATAACCAGATAAAAATAAAATCTACTGTAACAATCTTATTTTATTTTACTTAAAAATACTTGGGTTATTGATAAAAAGAAATTCAGAATTATTCATTTTCATATGGAACATAACATATAAAAAAAATTAGCCCCAATAGAGACCGAATATTCATTTTTATTTTTTTATTTTTTAAATGGTAAGTCTATAAAAGAATGAAAATACTTTGACGCAAAATATGATATCTCATTAAATCGATCTCTATTGGGACTAAATTTTTTATATATTCGGCTCATTATGTAAATGAATAATTCTGAAAATTTTCTTACTAATATCTCGAGTTTAAAAAATAAAATAACATTATTGGAGTAGATTTTTAGATTACCTATTTGTTTCTAGTTATGAAGGTTTATTATATAAATCTTATATTTATGAGTTCATAAGCTTTTAGTGCATATATTATTTAGAATTTTTAAATGTATGATTTGTGAGATATGAATTTTTAAAGTTCAAAAGAATTAAGATTTAAATAAAAGGGCATTTTTGTCCAAATATTAACTATTTTACCCCTTCTGATAATTAAGAGGGGTTCTTTGGTAAAAAATTAGATAAGGATAATTTATTGAAAAAGGTTACAGGTCGAGGGGGGTTCTTTGGTAAAAAAATAAATAAAGAGGGTTTACTGAAAAAGGTTACAAATCGAGGGGTTTTCTGTACTTTGCCCATCCTATCATTTATTTTGAGTATATAATTGCTTGTATGGTCCTGTAATATGAGTATCCGATCCTTGTGAACTAACAGGAAAAGTACAACCTGTAAATCCAACATGGGGCGTGGAAGGTTTTGATCCTTTTATTTCGGGAGGAATCGCCTCTTATCATATTACAGCGGGGACATTGGGCATATTATCGAGTCTATTCCATCTTAGCATCTGCCGGCCTCAATGGCTATACATAAGTCCATTAAGTTTGTAAAAAATGTAACAAAGAAAGGCTTGAGACAGGGGCGGAGCCAACATATGCCTAGGTTTCCCCCCCCCCCCCCCCCCCCCCCCCCCGGCACTGAATTTAAATCTTGGCTCTGCCCCTGGCTTGAGGTCATTGTTTTTTTAAAAATACATTTTTAAGATATAAAATTTTAAAAATACTCTTATCTCTTTCGATAATGAACTTATATATATACTCTCGTCACATTTAATTAGTTTTTTTACTTGTTTTTTCTTCAATTGTAGATGGATACTTTAGTCTTTTCAGATCCTTGTTTGTACCAAAATTAAATATTAAGTAGGTTTTAGAACGTATAGGGGTTATATACTCTAATGTATAGCATAAAGGTGTTTTTTGTCTGTAACCTTATATATATATATAAACAAAGAGGAACAATTTAGTTATTTCACATTTAATTAATCTTTTTACTTAATTTTTTATTCAGTAATCTTTTCAGTGTCCTTGTTTGTACCAAAATTAAATATTAAGAACTCTATATGTATATCATATGAATATTTTTCACTGGAGACCCTAATATTTAGATCTCCACAAATTTTTATACTCATTTAAAATAATTTCACTCTACAAATATCTATCATTTGTGTAACATTTTTATCTACATTTTAAAATCTTCCAATTCTTTGTGCAGGGCTCCCAATATCTACAATAATTTTAAAAATTCTAAAACAACTTTTCATATCCCATGTAAATGCCAAGTAGAGTCCTCCTAACACTCCTCTATGGCGCAACCTCCTCCAACAGATGTGCGTGAGGCTTAAAATCTGATCGGCCCATCAGATTGGGCCTAACCCAAAAAGAAAAGTAATGGGCCAGGACTCCTCAACAGTAATGTTAAAAAGCGGGATGTGATCATGTGAGGTGGACTCAAGAAGGGCTCGTCAACGCTAATATTAATGTTGGAAACAGCTCCAATGGAGTTAGATGTTGTTAGTTGTTACTCAAAGTATGAATGCAAGCCCAGTGAAAAATAACAAAAAAATTGTTTGGTTTTCACTTGAGATTCGTACTCGTACATCAAAATAACATTTGTTCTCCGTTTTCATTTGAAATTCGTTCTTGTCTTGTACCTTAAAGCAACGTGGTTTTAATGACTGCATAAAACTCTTGCTGATTTGATGCATTGGAGAAGAGGGGATCCTATTTCCATTAGAAAGAATTTTAGAAGCCAAAAAAAACTTTTATCAGTATTCACTATTCACGCTTTCAAATGTAGAAAAGCATGAAGGGGAAATAATTGAATTATCCTTCAAAAACACTCTCCTAACTCATTTATTAATCTACAACTTATTTAATTTTGATTTTAGAGATAACTAGGTTATTTCATTAAAATAATAATAGTAACTTAGTTGATTTGATTTTAGTCTTTCATTGAAAATGAGAATACATTCCAAAAGTGTAACTTGCAATGCTCGGAAAAATTAGTCACCATATAACTTAGGAGTTAAGAAGACCACCCTATACACGCATGAAGAAAACTCTCCCCTCCATTTTTAGTAATTTTTTATTTTTACTTTTTGTATGGAAAAGGTAACCTATTACCTACTCCTTTTGAAAGGGAAATAGACATTTGACACTTTACACAAAGCTTGACATACAAACTTTTCAATGGAGTGCTTTCCTCCTGTATTTGGAGTGTGAATACTCTCTCATTTGGGTTTGAAATTTTTAAATGTCGCTTCTAGCCTTTCATGCAGTGGAAATGAGATTAGAACAAACCATCATCCTCCCAGTGCATTTATATTTTCCCGTGCACATCAACCCATCAATGAGATTGCGTTGTACTGAAAATAGTTAAGATCAATTCAAAATACACGGCAATTTTAACTCGATTAAAACATCATTCCACTTCAAATACAGAGCATGCAAAATCCTAATCATAAAATGTGAACATCATCACATCAAACTAACAAATAAAGAATAATGAATTATATGTAATGCAAAAGCAACAACCATCTTTGTATAGATCTAGTGGTTGAAATCTACTTAGTGATGCAAACAATTCAACAAAAAACACATGTACCAAACTCTCTAGATTTAGATACAAATAGATTATAAGACCCCACTACCTTATAATTATGCCTCCAAAGAACCACCTCTCTCTTTACCCTTTGCCAAAATCTGATTATTCCACCTCCAATGCACCAAAAGCCAACAAAAATTGAGTCTACTGACAACTGCCAGCCTTGGTGACACAAGAAGAATCTGTATCCCACTCTGCATTTTAGCAACACTCCCAGTGACTCGCTATCTTGCGCAGAGAGCGTTGAGCAGCACGTGACCCAGCATGAGGTCCACAAAGTACTGGTGCCCAATCTCGCCGTCCCTCCATTTCATCTTCGCCGGCGCTCGGCCGTAGTGCACGCCGTCATTGCATCGGTTGTCGAAGTGCCACGGAAATGTCATGTCGAAGTGATCAATCACCCTATTGACAACCCCAAATTGCTTCAACTTCTCCAAAAACACCCCATTAAACGCCTCCATTTTGTGGGGATTAAAGGCCAATCTTCGCGCATAACCACCCGTCGCCACTGTGGTTCTGTATAAAACTTCCGGCGCCACCAGCCCTCTCCGCCTCACCGACTCCATCACCTCCGCCCAGAACTCTGCCGCCTGCTCCGCCCCCTTATTGAACCTCCTAAGATTAGACCAAAACACTCCGTCATGTAAACCCGAATTCATGACCAAAGTGTCAGGCACATTGTCATGTGAAAAGTACTCTTTCAAAATCTCTCTGTACGTCTCATTCTTGAGCGAATTCAAGCCCTGATAGTTTCCCGTTTGAATGGAGTGACCGTTGAAAATGCTGGTGATTCGAACTGTTTGAGAGGGTTGTTTCGGGTTTGTGATGTTCATGTCAAACCATCTCGGGACGGTTTTGATTTCAGGCACATTCAAAATGAAATGGATGATGTTACGAATAGTATCACAGTGATTCGAATCTCCCCAAAAGAAAATCCAACGATTGTTCAAGCAATTCCAAGCTTTCTTGCTCGAGAAAATTTTGAATGAGCAATGCGTCGAATAGGTCCACCCATTACTCTCAAGCAACCCCAGAGAACCATCACACCACGGATGCTGACAGGGTAAGGTCGATTTGAAGCACCGATATCGACCGTCATTGCTGATTTCACAACTCTCATTTTTGCCATGTCGAGTCCATCGACCAGACCAAACATCTCGATTAAGTTCAGACTTATGGCATTGTGTTAATTGCGGTACTTGAGTTGAAGATCTGTAGAAATTGATGGGAATGGTACGAAGAATTTTGTCGAATGCAAATCGCTCAGGTGAGAACTTTAGACCCTCGAAGTGTCTAAACAATAGAATTACAGTTAGGTTGTAATTTCCAGTGAAATCGGGGTGGACTTGGACGGAAAAAGAGTAAGTGCCATTGCCGAAGTCCTTGATTGGTGGCCGAGACTTCCATGACTCGCCGGAGAGGTCTGTTTCGAAGTAATCACCACCCAGACAGTGAGGTTTTCCTGATTCATCCAATGCTTGGAACACAAATTCATGAATATCCCCAGTTGATAAGTAGATTTGTTCTTGACCATCCAATTTTGGAATTGAAATATCCACTGTTTTTGAGTCCTTACACGGCTCACCACCCGGAGCTAACCATCCCGCTAGGAGTTTCGACGAAAAATTGGCCTCGAATTCAGCTGAAATCCAACCCAATGTAGTTGGAGCTGAGGGGTTTGTGACATTTTCTAAAATTTGGGAACTTAAACTTGTTACATTGAGTTGATTTTGAGAGCTAAAGTTAGTAAGGTTGGGTTGGTTTAGCGTGAGATCACTCAAACTTTCATGGGTTTGAGTCAGATTTTGAAAGGTGTGGGTCAGATTCCGATGAGGTTTTTCGTGGAAGGTCAAATTGGGTTGAACTGGGGCAGTGTATGGACTGAAATGTTCATTGCTGTCTGTCAAAATAACAGGAGTGATTTGTTTCACAGTAAAAAAATCTTTGTGCAAGCCACTAATACTCCAACTATCGAATCCCCAAACAACCAATATTCCAATAAAAATTGAAAGTGTTAGTATCTTAAACCACCAATGAATCATGAACTTAGAAGGGGAAAAAATCCATGAATTTAGGGATAGAGGTTTTGCAATTTTTTCTGGCATCTGTGACATAACAAAGCCAAAACTAGAACGTAGTAGTAATTAACAACTGAGTTTTCCGGGAAAGTTGCCGACAGAAAAATTTTCTATCATAACATGGTAGTACTACTAGATTTTCTCGAGAAAATAAAATAAGATGGTGCAAACTTACTGTTGGTAGTGTGATGGTTCAATATGTCGCCAGAAATGACGGAGAAGATGTCTGAAATTAAGTTGCCAATGCTTTCAAATGAAGCTAAAATTTCTCTCCTCTACAAACATCTGTACAGACATAGTGACATACGTCTTCGTTTGTATCTATATATGTGAGTTTATTATTGGAAGAAGAAAGAGAGAGAATGCGGAGGAAAGAGATGAGATGAGGGCGGAGCGGCAGAGAGAAAAAGAGAATCCAATAATAAAACAAAGGAAAAGGTACTCTGCTGAAAAACAATTGAGAACTACGAGGAAATTTTGTTGGCCATAATACCCTCGGGTTTTTACTCAAATTACTGAGGGATATTTAATTATTGTGTACGACACCGACACACCCGGAGGTGGATCGGTGCGCCGGTGGGGCATTTATGTCCTTTCGTACATTAATGCATGATGGTTCAAAGACAAGGTGCAATGAGCTGTCCCGTGAATTTATTTTCAGAAACAAAAAAAGAAAAATATATATATATATATTACTGATAAAGGGATTATTTATCTCTTACATTTCTTTTTCATATTCCTTTTTTCTTTTTTTATATATCTTAAATTTTGAATTTAAAATTGCAAAAAAAACTTAATACAATATTTTAATTAAATTCCTTTTAATTTCAAATTCAAAACACTAATTCTATGTTATCAAAGTAGAAATCATTAGTGTAAAATAATAATTGTGTTAGGGTCAACCTAATGCATTGGCCGGAAGAAATGCACCTTCTGAATTTTTTTATTTTTTTTAGTAATTTATCTTATTAATTTTATTTTTTTAATTATATACTCATAAAATATTATTATTACTCTCTAAAATTATTAAAAATTTCATTATTACCTCATCTCACCTAATTTACAAATCAATAAGTATACAACACGGTTTGAGTGAAAGAGGACGACTAATCCTTCTGGTACATGTAATAACATAGAAAACAGCCGCATTAGGTAAATTCAAAGAAAATTGAACTTGAAATGCTTGTTTACTCATTCATCACTCCTTTCTGTCTGGATTCATATAATGTGAACTTGCAAACTCAATTTTAGTGGATACTGTTGACTAACTCTTCTAAGTGCGCATAAAATCCAAACCTAACTAATCATTTTCATTCAAGACCATCTTCTGTAAGGTTTTATTATTATTTATTTCCCGATGGGAGAAGAAGTTCATATTTTTACACATACATTTTTTTTTTTCATATCAAAATATATCATTGGAATAAATGTATTTTTTTTTGTAAGTACATGAAGGGACGGAGACAGAAATTTTTAATTGGGGGCCAAATGGTAATATAAAATTAAAATTAATAAACAAAAAAATAATTTTAATAATTTATTTCTGTGCAATTTTAACAACAAATCTATAAATGATATGAGAAAAATAAATAGAAATAAGATCAAGTCCATTAATAAAGCTGGAGTGAGGGCGGGAGAGTGAGAGCAGCATAATTAAATCATAAGTAATGAGAATTTGAATCAGAACATGTGCGGAGCGTGAGAGCGGGAACGTGCTCGGAGCGTGAGCGACATCTGTTAAGAAGGATTGTCTGACTTAGGTACTACCGAGGCTTACAAAATAATAAACACTTCTACTATTAAGTTTGAATTTTTAAAGGCAAGACCAAAATGTTCAAAAAAGTCATAAATAATTTATTTCACAAATCATATTTAATTTTCATAGATAATTTATCAAATTTTGAGAAGTCAACTTAAAATTTTTTTTTATATACAAAACTACCATTAATAAGCATGAATAATTTACGTTAATAGAATTCTGAAATATATATGGGAGGTCAACTTTAACTTTCTTATACAAATTTACCATTAATAATCATGAATAATTACTGAAAAATATTTGAGGGACCAAATTTAATATTCTATACAAAATTATCATTAATAATTATTAATAACTATAAATTATTACTACTAATAATTATTAAAAGTGTGAAGTATCCATGTGAACATTAAATATTATTAAAAATTATTATGTAAAATTATTAAAAACTATTGCTGCATGGACTGTCCATGTGAACATTTATAGAGCTCTGTTTTTGTGTACCATGACCAGAAACATCCAGGACCAGCATTCGAATGTCGACAAATGATAATGTGATTGCAGTAGCATATGAGTCCTCATCATGTGGGGATGAGGCACATTTTTAATTGCATTAATTTATGTGGTTGAGAATAAATTAATTGGATGAGGAGGGTACACATCTCAACGGTGCAAAATAAAAACCACTAATAAGTGAGGTTTGATAACTTGCTATTATCGGACCTACCCAGAAAAAAATAAAATAAAAATTTGCTACTTTATAATGTAATAATAAATACCATTACCGAAATTGTTCCAATTTTGATCTTCGAAACTAGGTTTGACAGAGGTCAATATCAGCCGAAAGCAACCACAACGACTTGAGTTATTAAAAGGGTCAAATTTTATGTAGATATATATATCAACATATGCTTTTTATTTTAGAATCCAGGAGAGATACAGTAAACTAATGTCTTAAGTGGTCTTCAAATTTTTTCATGATTAAAAAGAAATTTTTTTTTACATATCTGGTGTATTATTTTCTTCATTTCCTCACTATATCTGTATACTATTCTGGAAAGACAAAAAAAATTACAAGAGTTCAGTGGCCTAGCAGTAAGTTTAAAATTTTTGAAAGCAGGAACATTTGTATATTAGATTTAAATAGAATTATATTAGGTCGTGACATATATATTTTGTATTTATTTATTTAATTAAATTTATATGCAAATATATTCATTATTATTTATTATAAATAAATTAATTTTTCTCACTATAGATTGTGGTGATTTATTTGTAATATTCTACAAGTTTTTTAGTGGTATATTTTTAAACATGTGTAATTAATATATGTAAAATGATATTTGTGTCGATATGTTACAGTAAATTATTTTATAATGAATTACAACTGAATATTTGTTGATTGGTTATTTATGTACAATACAAGTAAATATTTTTTGATTGGTTATTTATGCATAATACAAGTAAATGGAGGTCCACTCTTTATCTAATTACTAATTAAAACTAGATCTGACAATTCAATATAACTCATGTGGTAGATAATTTAAACTGTATGAAGTGAATGAATTAGAAAAACAAATCCACCAAATTACAAAAATTGAATGTGTGACCTTAAGGCTCAGTCGGTATAAGACCTTACATTGAAAAATAAAAAAGTAAAAAATATTATATCCACAAGCCAAAAACAAGGGAGGGATGTGAAAAGGATGAATATAAACAAACTGGGCTAGTCAGTGTAGCTGTGGGAGAAGAAGTAGCCTCTATGAATGAATTGAAGTGACGAACCAACCACCACCCCTCCTTCAATCAGCTGAAGGCAGATATCATCATATATCATAATGTCCACCACCGTCTTAATTAGCACCATCCATTTCAAACACCCACCTCCTGAAGACCCCACTCCTCCACTCTCCTTCTCATACCTTCTCTAAGTATATATATATATATATATGTATGTATGTATATCTGTTATTAATTCTATATAATAAGATAAATCAGGTCAAATCTAGCACCACCTAATTAAGCAAGTTTGAGTTTGAGAAGAGAGAGAATTTTGGTCGGCCGCATAAATTTGACTTTTACGTTAATACCACCAGATATCAGCTGGAAATTTCCTTCCCTGATACTATCGCCATGCCTGATTGGGCGGTACCAACCCCACTATAATCCAAATTTGGACAAGTGGAAACCACAAACTTTTAAGATGACACCGTCAAAACCCGTGTTTTACTTGCCGTTCTATGCCGCCGTACTTAAGTTCTCTTAAATGGGTGCCGTCAACCACAAACTAAGAAGCTTTATAACTATCATACCGCCAAATAATTTTGTAATTATATATATTTTATTAAAAAAAAATAGAATTCAATGCTATTCACATTATAGTATAAGTTAATTAAAAAATAACATATATATATATTTTTTTATAAAAAAAGTGGAGTATAAAATTAAAAAATAATAATAATAATAATAATCATCAAACCGTATTATTGTATTTCATGATTATAAGAATGAATAAAATTATATATATATATATAGATAATATTATTTCTTAAAGCATTTTTGTTATCTCGGTGTCCTATTTATTTGACTTCTACAATATCTCATCTATGTGTCACTCCAAATACCCATATTGGTTTGTGTGTTTAATGCACTACAACAATATTCCACACCGTGATTTGGGTATTTTTGGCTAGGCAGAAAAAAGGGTGTGATTGAGAGAGGCAATCTATCAGGAACAATACTTTAGCTCACTCACAATCTTTCGATTCAAGCACACTCAACAAGATATGGCGTGCTTGTTGCTTGTATTATGTAAGCCTACAATCAAATCAAAGTAACCACAAAGCTAAAAAATTTTTTTTTTTTTTTTTTTTGTTATTTCATCATTTGAATAACAAGAGAGGCCCAGTATGTTCCGGTTATTGGGTCAGGCCATTCTAGGCATCGAAGTTGTTATTTCATGATATTTTAATAAAGGCGCAGCATGTTTTCGGTTATTGGGTCAGCCCATTCTAAGCATCAAAGTTGTTATTTCATCATATTTTAATAAAGGCGCAGTATGTTTTCGGTTATTGGGTCAGCCCATTCTAAATTTCTAAGAATCAAAGTTGCTATTTCGTCATATTTTAATAAAGGCGCAGTATGTTTTCGGTTATTGGGTAAGCCCATTCTAAGCATCAAAGTTGTTGTTATTTCATCATATTTTAATAAAGGCCCAGTATGTTTTCGGTTATTTTGGCAGGTATTTCTAATTTATAATGGGCTGCAGGTAAATCCATGTAAGGAAGACTCCCACACAATATAATGTACTTTTGAACTTGAACTTGGACCTTGGCATCATTTGAAGTGAGTACTCCCAGACACTAGTTACCTATCAACCTGGGTAAGGCATAGTATGTTGATTTGGCATGCGTTATGATATTATTTTTTAAATATTGATATTTATATTTGGCTCATATCAATTATGATATTATTTTTTAAATATTGATATTTATATTTGGCTCATATCAATCATGTTTGAGACAACTGATGTTGGTTTGAATTAGTTCATAATATATCAGATTTTTTTGTCCAAACCCATATATTTGGCATGCGTTATGATATTATTTTTTAAATATTGATATTTAAATTTGGCTTATATCAATCATGTTTGAGACAATTGATGTTGGTTTGAATTAGTTCATAACATATCAGATTTTTTTGTCCAAACCCATATCACTAAATTGGTGATATTGTGTGTCTTGGTATTATAGCTGAGGAACTAAAGCAAATTTTTAAAACAAATTTTTGTTACCAAACATAGTTTCGATTTCTACCCAAAACACTTTTTAGTTATTTTGATATTGACCAAAAACATAACGTCTATATAATCCAAAACTTTTATTAACTCCTTAAAATTTTATAGGCGTTAATAAAAGTTTTACACAACTTTTACGTATATTTATTTACACAATCGGGATCGGTTAGAAGTGAGCCACGTACCAAGGACCCAATATACGTAAATAAATAAAGATGATCAATACTTGGTATAAAAGTAAAATATTGAATAAATCTGATAGGTTAGGTGAGTAATTTTAATTTTTTTTTTCAATATTTTTTGCAAAACGAAAAATGGTGAAGAAATTGGGTGCCCTAGACATACCATATAGCACCATATCAGTTTTATATAAGCATTTTTACACGTGGGACAACTCTGTTTTATAACGGGACATAAAACGGATTGAGATTACTCTTTGTTAATCCATAAAATTTGTTACACCAATGTGTAAAAATACTACAAATAAGTTGATATGGGATCCATGGCGCACCTAATATTGACTCCCAAAGAAGATAGCCCTGAGGGCCTCAATAGAACGCTTAAACCAATCAGTGACTAGAGTTGCCCATTTTGTCTTGCAAAATTAAGCAGAAAATAGGAAAAATAAATCACACACACAAACACAAAAAAAAAAAAAAAAAAAAAAAAAAAAAAAAAAAAAAAAAAAAAAAAAAAAAACCAATTTTATGGAGCAATTGAATTGGTGTTCTAACACGGATCTTAGTTCATGTCACCGTGTTTGCAATATGTTCACCCATTTTATGCCCATGTACGATCTAGAGACATTATAGGTTGAAAACTAACCAAATCTGAAACTGTCTGGGAAAAAATGGTTAGCCTCTTGTATGGAACACTGAAGAAGCATGATCAGCGACCTTTTCTCCTTTTTCCAAGAGCACAAGAGTTGTGTTGGAGCAACATCTCACTCATTTACGTCTCAAACTAACCTCCTTAATGGAAGAACCAAAAAAGTGTGAATAACAAACAAATCTCCAACATTACAACCTCCCCTTTCTATACTCATATATATCTTACATTGCAAAGCAACAAAAAACAACATAAATTTTTATATTCTACACACTCTTTGTCTGTTAAAATAAGCTCTCTCTAAAAAGACCTATAAAAACTACAACCGTTAATTAAAGTTAATATTATTCCTTTTTTTCCCCAAACACAAGAGAATTATTAGGTTTGATCATGAAAAGCTTGTTTGAGAGTCAACCCTCCCCTGATATTTCTACTTCCGATGCTTCGAAGAGTAGTCAATCTAAATATGATCAGGAGTTGGGCTCTAATGCAGATGTTTTCATGAAGAACTCGGCTTTTTGCTGCTCTCCACATGGAATGGATGCAGATTTTGCGCGCAGAGTGAGAAAATCACTAGCATTTTCATGAAAAATATCTTTCCAAAGCACACATTACTTCTATTGAGCTAAAAGTCCGTGTACAAATTTTAAATCAAACACACTCCTAATATGCAGGTTTTAGCAGAGGCTGTGGGGACTTTCATTTTGATGTTCTGCATATGTGGGATCATAGCAAACACGCAGCTGATGGAAGGCGCAGCAATGCTCTTGGAATCTGCAGCAACAGCAGGATTGGCAGTTATCGTTGTAATTTTCTCTATAGGGACCATAAGTGGAGCTCATGTTAACCCTGCTTTCACAATTGCTTTTGCAGCCTTTGGTCAATTTCCTTGGAGCATGGTACTTAACCATTCCAATTTCAGTCTTTAGGGTACCTTTTTTTTTTTCTTTTTTTTTTTCCGACAAACTAGGGGAGAGGAACTCAAACACGTGCATACCTAGGCCACTAGGTAATGCCCTTTTAGAGTACTTCACTAGGTAGCATATAATGAAGTTGTTTTCCTTATTGTTTTCCAAGGTACCATTTTACATATTGGCGCAAGTAGGGGGTTCAGGATTGGCAACATTTATTGGAGGTTTAGTTTATGACATAGAATCGAATCTCATGATCACCAGACCATTGCGAGGACACACTGCTGCCTTCTGGTTGGAGTTCATCGCGACCTTCATCATCATGTTCTTAGTTGCATCATTGACAAATGAAGCTCAACGCGTAAGACAAAATCTCCTACTTTGGTGCTATAAAATGCGATTGACTTTAGCTTCAATACGAAGATCCAATTCTACTGTAATCTAAAAAATGGTCTCCAAAGGTACATTCTATATATATTTTGCGTAACCTTAAATGGTGTTTTGCAGGTAGACCATTTGTCTGGATTTGTTGTTGGGATAGCCATTGGACTTGCAGTGCTGATTACTGCGTATGTTGATACCCTATATATATTGTACTACTATATATGGTTTGTTTACTTATTTATTTAATTTTACTTAGTATTACTATACATAATCACATATAACATAAATGTTATATATATATAATCCTCCTTTGGTCTTCCAAAACACAGGCCTGTTTCAGGAGGATCAATGAATCCAGCGAGGTCACTAGGGCCTGCAATTGTATCATGGAAGTTTGATGATATATGGATATATCTGATTGCCCCAACAATTGGAGCTGTGGCAGGTGCACTTTTGCTTCTTCTCTTACGTGTTCAGCGCCGCCCTTGCAGTTCAACTTCCTCTCCTAACACCAGTTTTCTTATTCACTCCATACGTTAGCATTTGTTGTAAACATCTGATTATACCAAATGTTTTCTAAGGAGTAGTGTTTTGCTTGGGAAGCTTGTGAAGTTACTTTTATGTCAATTGGCAGCATTTTCTCCAAGTCCTGTTGCAAGACTAATTCATTCCAAAATTGCACACAAAGAGAACTTTCAACTAGGTATATGTAGATCAAGAATGTGCCTTAAAACACATTGAAGTTCCAATAGCTAACCATTGGAAAACAGTCTTCGTAAATCTTTCTTTAGAACATCATTCAATTAACGATTCAAATTTTTTTAAACACTTACATATAGCCAGCCTAGAAAAGACTCGAAACCTGATTTTTCATCATTTCTTATCACATAATTAAGCAAAATAAAGAACAATGGGTTTGCGTATATGATACCAATTCTACACATCTCTGTTTTTAGCTTTAACGTGATCTACAGGCTATGGTCTGTGTTCTTTTAAATAATCAAACACAAGTTTAGGTTCATAAGAACACCATAAATATAGATCGATTTTGGCACAAAACCAAGGTTGCTCGGTTGAAACTCAAAGACCACGGTTTGAAATTGAAAATCTCCATTGAAACATTTTGGCACAAAACTAAGGCTACTCCATTCAACTTGGAGACCACGGTTTGAAATTAAAAATCACCTGACTGCATAATATTTTCCAAACTATTACGAAGTCTCATGCACTGGGTTAACCTTTTTCCAAAAAAACATAAACTCCCAAAAATACTGTACATGTTCAGTTCTCTCTCTCTATCCCTCTCTTACACAAACACACACACACACACAAAATGTTGAAATAAACTTTGTGATTAGATACTTGCTAAATTTGTTGAATAATTTTATTTTTAAATGAGTAGGTATTTATTAACATGAAAAATTCTAGTACAGCATATGCCAGAAGAGTCCAAAGTAATTCCCACCAAACATAGGTGGATTATTGGAAACTTACAAAGTACTACAATGATTTCACACCAAAAGCTCAGGACACTTAACACATCGTTCTCTATACCACAAGAAAAGCTAGGAACTTTGTGCTGTACTCTAGTTGCATTCTTTTGTTTTTATTTTTTTTATATTTCACTGAAAACACTAAAATAATGAAAGATGAAGCAAGCAATAATTGTCCAGACATGGGGTTTTGATCTCCTTAAAGGGAACTATTGAAATTAAATTAAATTTTTATTCAGATACGATGTGTCACATATTACATATATATGTAGCCATTGAAACTGACATAACAATTTGAATAAAAATGCAGCCAAAAGTAGGTCTCTCCCATGCAAACGGACCAATTCTACATAGATAATAAGACCAATACAATGTAATTAATTAGTGGCCTTTATATATATATATATATATATATATATATCTACTGTCATGTTCTAGGCGACGGTACTGTTGGTGAATCAAGAGCATGTAATTAATATTTGGTAAAATAAAATTGTAATGTCTTTATTAGTGTTTAAAAATCAGGTTGAAAATATATTCTATTGTAATAGAACGTGGACAAAAATGTGTCATTTATTTCAACAATGATATATATATATATATATATATATATATATATCTATTCAAATGAATGGTCCCTCCCACATACTGACATACACATGGGTCAGGTAAACGGCAACAGGCCAATAGGGGGGGATGTGAGGATATCCATAAATTAACCACCTCTTTATCAAAGTTGCTTTCAACTTGGAAAGTAGACAAAGTCATAAGGAAAAGGAAAAACGAAGAGGGAGAAGCATGTGGCTCTCAGTACACTAAAAATTAATACCAGTCGTCCTGACCTATGGTTGGTGTTAAGATGATAATGATCGCCCTTTTTATCTTTGGGAAAATCGATCTCTCTCTATCAATACCAACTTTTCTTTCTCTAAATTCTCGCGTCTCTAGCTCAGACGTTATCCATGGAATCTGCTGGTCGAATCCACCATTGACCAACCACCATTCTACGCTTCATCATCCATGCATTGATATTACTTGTGCCTTAAATGCAAATACTAGCAAACTTTAATTATTTATGGAATCTGACCTATGGTTGGATTTAAGATGATAATGATCACCCTTTTTATTTGTCGTTTAGGAAATGAACCGATCTCGTGAGCATTAGTTCGTGTAAGTTTTTTTATGCTCGTAAATATAAGTTTGTATATGTTCGTAAATCGGAGGCTAGCTAGTTGTAGAGCTAAGAGTTTGTTTATATTTGTTTATATTTTTATTGAAGTTCAAAAATACAATGATTTGCTAAACGAGTCTGACGAACTTGAAAATAAATAAACTTTGAATATGAGTTCAATTTGTTTTCTTAAACGAGCCAAGTCGAGTTCAAGTTTTTTAAAACCATGATCCCGAACTCATTTTTTGAGCTCATTACAATTTTAAGTTGAAGCCAAACTGAGCTAAGCTTATGAACAAACAAGCTCAAGTTCGTAGTTCCGAACAGCTTAAAGATCATCTCGGCTTGTTCTTTTGTGGCCCTAGAATTAGTCCACATCGCCAAAATAAAAAAAATAATAATAATAATAACAACAAATGATGTTAAATGCTAGAAAGGTATATATTGATTCTTAGATGCTCATGGCTGTAAATTATATTAATCTCACAAATTTGTTTAGGTGATGAGTGCATTTCTTTGTCATATTTTAAGAATTTAAATAGCAAAGGAAAAAATAATAAGAAAAATATATTTTGTGGGAAAAGTAACTTTCCATAAACAATTAAATTTCTCATCAATTTATCCTACAAAAAAACAGAGGGAAATATGACCTTTTTTGAGAAAGTTATGTGAACTTGTGATTATGCCTTTTTCATCCCTCTAAAATATAGTATGTTTACGCTTAACCTTTGATCTCTTTACTGTCTTACAAAAATGTTTATTTAGATTCTTATACTACTTTTACTTTTTTTAAAAAAAAAAAAACTATGCATCCCATATAAATTTATTTAGACATATTAACCTAGCTATCTAATAAAAATAAAAACAATTTAGCCAAATCATAATATTTTCTTGAAACATATCTGCTATCCAAATAAAAAAATAAAAAAAAAAACAATTGGTGCTCCAAATGCATAAGAGAAAATTGATTTTTTTTTCATTCAATGCACTTCCTTCATTTTTCACCATTAAATTCACTGCACTTTTCACACATCCCTGTTAATTTTCAAATTCGGGTTAGATTTAAATTAACTCTTCATCATATTTGGCCAACTTCTCTCTCCGCTAGATTTACACACTAAATTATCTTTTACTAACGTCCCGTACTCTCTCACCTTTCATTTTGAAAGAAGAAAAATGATTCTACATAATTAAGATTACCTCCATGTTATGATCTTAATTCTTTCATCATAAAAGACACGAGAGATGCACCTGGCAAAGTTGACTCTACTTAATTAATGCAATTAAATTCGTTTAAATATGGTAATTAAAATAGGAAACAAAGGGCAATTATGAAGACTCCAAAACCATGGGCCAGTGGACCGTGGGCCAATGGCAATACCATGGGCGTCACCTTCACCAACTTGCACTTGAGGAATCATTAATTCGTCACCTATTCAAATTTCACTGTGAAAATCATATTCTATTCTTATTTATTCAATCTTTGGCACGACTTCGTTCCAATTGTGCCCACTCGGACAAGACACCCAATATTTATCACCACCAACTGTATCTGGGACTGAGCTCCATCATCTGCAGTGGATTCCCAACTCATGAATCAACGTTTTAGGAGTTTTGTTTCGCATCGAATCGGATTCGACAAAAAAAAATAATAATAATAATAATAATAATAATAATATATATTTATACGTGGACAAACAACGTTGCTCAATAACTTACATCAGTCATTGATGAGTATCCAATTCTTTACGGCATTGTGATTAACTAGTAAATCTATTTACATGATTTTACTTACGTCATCTTACAAATGATTTAATTAGTAAGTGGAAACATTTTTTTATGGAATCTTGAATTCTTCAATCTATGTTTCCTATTTTCCAAAAGAAAGAGAGAAAAAAAAAGAAACATAAATGTTCCTTGGATTAGGTATGACTTGGAGTTGCATTAAGCTAAAATTATTTGTATGGTACTTTGTTTAATGGCCCCAACATATAGAATATGTTGGCAGCCTGTCCCTTTCGTAGTTCCAATATCAAATTTGTAATGTTATTTGTATTTGTTTTTGCATTTTACTTAGATTTAAGTTGCCGATCAGAACAGAAATCTTGGGTCCACCACCACCCATGGTTTTGGATGTTGTAAGTTTAGACCCGCCATCTCTCTCTGTGTTTTTTGGACAACGAAATATAAGTTTCTTAGATTTATTTGTTTATTATTATTTTATATTTATAAATATACTCTGCAACTCATTTACAATAGAACAAGAGATGTATTTTAATGATCTCTTTTTGAAGGATATTGCTGTTTTGATTATGTATATAAATTAGTGATCTCTTGCTGTCTTGCAAACATGAAATTTAATTACACCAAAAATAATAACAATCGAATATAATTTAAGTCTAGAAACACAAAAAATAGTTACCAACCATCGTCATAGTTGGTTAGATTAAATTTTACTCGGCCGGTGAATATATAATACCTAGTATATACGGAGTACAATTTATAACAAAAATTTTAAATTATTGGATAGTATTGCATACCAATTTATTTATATTCCTTTCACTTTTCACCTCATCCGGATCATGATAAAGTAATAAAAAATGATAGAAAAATTAAAATTTAAAAGATGACATGATATATAATAGGAAATGATAGAAAAAAAAGAATTTATGTAACTGACCTATTTTTATAAGATAAAAGACAAAGATGATGCACTAAATTATGAATTTAAGAACGAATCCACTAAATTATGGTGCACGATTTATAGTAAATATTTATATGTGCATATATATATATATATATATATATATATATATATATATATTTATATACAAAAATGAACTCTTATATATTAAAACCCATAACGGTTGAATCTCATATAAGTGTAAAAAAATAGTAGTTACAAAAAAATATATAGAAATTATATTCACTAAAATTATTTATTATTTGATCAATCAGTACCAAACATGGTGATTTTAGTGACAGTTGAATCTTATGTAAGTATAAAAATAAAAAAAAATAGAAATAAAAGAAAATGAAGGTAGTTATTAAAAAAAAAAAATTCAAATTTAAAAGTTCTTATTTACTGTGCAAGATAGAGTACTCCGTATTATTTTAGTGTTTATATATATATCTACGGAGCAAAGATCAACTTGATTGTTTTAACCAAGTTGATCATTTTTATGGGTGTGACCAAAAAGAAAATTAAAAATTAAATTTTAAAGCCTATTAAAGACTTTAAAGGATCCTACATGGGTTGATGTTATGGATCACCACGATATTGGGGCCCACTCATTGTGGCGTTTTCTGGTCCGAGAAGCGCGTCATGATCCAATGGCCCTAAACGAGTTTGAATTACGGTGATGATGCTAAAAGGGGGCCTAATACTACTTGCACCTCCACAATTTTGGTAATTGCCGTATGCATCTTCACAGTGAAAGCTAAAATCTTAATTATTGTACTTTAATCTTATTAAAACCCATCCAATGGATCATTTCAAATGTAAAGGTAATATCTTAATTATTGTCCTAAAATGAATCATTTCGAATGGACTAAAAGTAAATATAACTTGTTTACATGTCATGGTCTGCTTCTTTTATAAATAATGATTAATTACATTTACATTTTTAAAAATTTGTTATATGAATAACTAGATGAAAATCGAATTCTTTCGAAAAGTGTAAGTATAATTAACCCTATAAATAAATAAACGATTGGATTTTGTGCTTTAATCTGTGCTTGATTGTACCCCATCCCTATGAGCTTAAGGATAAAACTTAAAAAAGGAAAAGGATTACAGACTCTCACAGGAGAGAGAGAATTAGAAATGGAAAAGAAAGAAGAAGAAGAAAAAAAAGAGTCTAATTTTGTGTACAAAAAGGGCATAATTCCAAATATTCATGTATAATATATGAACTGAGAGTTGAATGTACAAAAATATAAAATTAGATTAACATTTTGTTTCGCAATTACGTGAAATATGACTATTTATCTGCATATGATAACCAAACCATAGTCCCTGAAATAAGAGCCACTTTTAGAATGCATGCATATTGTAAATTTTGGTCATTATTCTAAATGAATACTGTAAAATAAATACTTACAGGGGTCCTTTTTTAAAATTATGAAGTTATCTTTTCAAGTTTTAATATATAAATATTATCAAAAGAATAATTTAAAAAAACTTTAAAAGTTGTTTATAGAGTATTAAATTGGAAAATTTGAATCCGCGCCTTTGTTATTATATTTTGTGTTGCGCTTTACGTCATTTAGATCTTTATAGTGCGGTAGTTCACATTGTTTATGCAACAATTACATTACGTCATTTATGTAAAAAATTACTTTTTTAATGTATTTATTACACTATGATATAATGTGTTGTACTAATAAAATTAATACGAAGGAATCCAAAATCTAAATTGGGATGGTAGGGATAGTATTTTTTCTATTGACGAAATGTTTTACTCTTTTACCTAACTTGAAATTTTGTACATTAAATTCAAATTTTCAAATATAATTCGAAGTCCTAAATATAATTTTCATCCTACACAACCAAACAATAAAAATTATTTTCTTTCAAGGTATACAATAAAAAAACCAACTCAATCCTTTTTTTCACCTACTTGTTTTTTACTCTTTCTACTTCTGTTCCACTTCCTTCCTACCAAACGGAACAATTGGCACGCGTGCGCGGCACGTGACCTTGTAGCGCCATAATCTCGGCCCCACGTAGTCACTATCATACTCAAGGTAATCATCACCCCTCTGTGGGTCCAGGACCACGTCTCCTTGTCCTTCATTGGATAAAAAGCAGAGAACAAAAACAAAAGAAATGTACCTAATGACGATAATACCCTCTTCCTCCATCTATAACTAGCAATGGCCTCGAATGATCCCACTCCTCCTATGTCCTCCGATCCTTCCAACTTTCTAGTGTGAGAAAGAGAGTAAATATATAATTTTAGAGAGAGAGAGAGAGAGAGTATTTTGGGTGAGTCATGTTGGGTGTTTTTAGCAGCTCAATCATGTCGCCGCCGGAGGAGCTTGTGGCAGCCGGCAGCCGTACTCCGTCACCGAAGACCACGGCGGCGGCGCTGGTCAACCGGTTCCTAGACGGTAACCCCTCCGGTGTTTCCATACAGATGGGAGACCATGCCCAGTTAGCCTACACTCACCAAAACGAGTCGCCCTTACAGCCCAGGTACTATATATATATATACACACGCTATATATTTGTTAAACATCGTGCTTGTGCTGCTAATTGCGTAATTCATGGTCTAGAATATTTTAATTAGGAAATCAAGTGAGAAATGATTGTTTATATTAATTTGCTTGTGTGATTAAATGATCTCGATTGTCTGATAATGTTTACTCTGGTTTTAGTCGCCTTCGTATACGGCTTGCATGATGAGTATGGACTATGGAGTATTCATCTACTTTATTATATTTTCTCTGGGAATCAGGGGTAGTTTTGTTTGGTTGTCAAGAATCTGGAGGAAAAAATAAAACGAAATTTCAGAGTGACTATTACAAGCTTCTGTATGTTTTTCTCACGTTTTTGAAGTACTTTTTTTTATTTTTAAGCAACCACCGCAATCTTTAATTCACCTATTTATTACTAATATCTATAGATTTTCGTGTTAGTTACGTTATCTGTACTCAATTAAAGTTTTATAGATGAGATTAAATTGGATGGTAATGATTTAAAGAATCATGGTTGAGGGCATGGGCCATGGGAGTGAGGGACAAGATCTCATCGGTGATGGGTGTTTCTTTTGGCGTTTCTGGGTCCCACTCTATTTTGCATGATTGCCAAGTATCAAATCCAAAAATTTTGTATCATGCCCCAAAGCCTCTCGAAGTCTCTTCACACTGATCGCTCAACTTGAGCCATACACGTGGCAGATTTCTCAATTGTGTAATATTACAAATAGTCAACCTGTTTGTTACCTTTGAATTGGCAATGCTCAAATGACTTTTATTCTTACGCAATTCCCTATTGTTTTATTGAGTTTTATGGACACTTAAATCATATTCAATCGGCACGGACTTGGTATGGAAAAATTTCTTGTTGGTTAGTGTATAAGAGATTATTTTTACTTTTATATATATATATATTATGGAGTAATATTGTTGGCTATGGTGGCGTAAGGTATCTTAGAACAACAACTCTGTATTCCACCACTTAATATATTTCCGGACAATTATCAAAAAAAATTCCCCAAAGTGATTCGATGGAAAAATACTCAATCCAAGGGTTTGGTTTCTTTGGATGGATGGGCTATTTTATGGGTGAAATGACACTTGGATGGTTAGAGCCAATTGTTAGTTTTTGGTCGGCTGAATTCACCTTCCGGCCTTTTAGGAAGGGTATATTAGTAATTTTGGTATCTACTGGATCTCCCCATATCATAACAGCATTTGTTTAATTGTCTTAATCAAATCCAAACATTGGTTAGTCACTGTTGGTTATACACTTGTGGTTTATGAATTTCACATTGAGTCATTTTTGTTAAATATTTATAAATAAATTGTTAAATATTAAAAAAAAATTGTACTCAGCATTCATTGTAATTTATCCACTCGTGGGTCTTTAATTAAATTCACAGTTGAGATATTAAATATCACATTGAATGATTTCTGAGTTGTTACATTATTTTTCTGGCCATGGTGAATTGATGATGTATGTGTCCCACCTATTTGAACTTTGTCCTTAGTCACCAAGGCCTTGTGGCCCAATGGTATATTGAAACGGGTGGGCTCCCATCTAAATCTGATACGGGACAAGTCTCACTTGTAATAGTCTCTCCCATTCGAATTCGGGCGATCGGGCCACCCTGCCTACCCGAGGCCAGACTTGGATATCCTCCGGACCGGGCGCTTGGCGTGATACCTGATTAAGAATTGGGTCTAGCTCTAATACTAATTAAAATGGGTGGACGCTTGTCCATTTACCCAAAAGCTCAAACGGCTGCATATTCACCCATTTATACACAATTCAACCCCCATCCAAACCCGATGTGGATAAGTCTCACTTGTAACATATATCCTCTACCTTCCAAAATTGATGGTGGGGTTTCAAGTCTCCAAAGGGATAAAGTGGATGTGTGAGTAAAGAGAAAAAAAAAACTTTGTCCTTAGTAAGAGGAATTAGGCTTTATGGTCATGATGATATCCATGACTGCCTAGATGAACAATATAGAAATGCTTCTTCTTTTTCTTTTTAATTTTTATAAGCAACAATATAGAAATGCTTTTAATAGTCAAGATTTAATTTGATGACCCTCTAACCTCATCTATTGAATGAGAAACGTCTCTTGTAGAACTAGTTTCATACAATAATTTAGTTTGGATGGTTATGACTTAGGTCTTCAAAATAGTGACATTTGATATTGTAATTATTTTCTCTTGTCATGTCAATCTAACAGTTCCTATGTGATGGAAATTGCAGATCATTTGCAGTCAAGGATGAGATATTCTGCTTGTTTGAGGGAGCACTAGACAACTTGGGGAGTCTGAAGCAACAATATGGGCTTGCCAAGTCTGCGAATGAAGTGGTGTTAGTCATTGAGGCTTACAAGGCACTCCGTGACCGCGCACCTTACCCTCCTAACCATGTTGTTGGCCACCTTATTGGCAATTTTGCTTTCATTGTCTTTGACAAGTCCACCAACACCTTATTTGTGGCTACTGTAAGTTGTCCCACCCAACAATTGACTTAATTTTCACATATTATGGCTTTTTAGTTACCCTTTAAGAACAATTGGGTTGGTATAATCCTGACAGGATCAATTCGCTAAGGTTCCTCTGTATTGGGGAATCACTGCTGATGGGTACGTGGCTTTCGCCAACGATGCTGAGTTGCTTAAAGGAGCTTGTGGCAAGTCATTGGCTTCCTTCCCTCAAGGTGGATCATCTTTCTGCTTTAGTAGTCCAATAACCCCATTGATTGCTTGGGATAAAATGAGATATCTACAAAGCCATGACTTTTTTTGCTTCATGCCGGGGCATTTCAATCCACTAACAATAGAATAAATGGCAACAGCGAAAGCTGAAAGCTACTTAAACCCACTGATTTCATTTTTATCTTTTACTTTTGCAACTGTGAAAGCTGAAAGCTACTTCCAACCACTAATTTCGTTTTTCTTTATTTTTATTTTTTATTTTTCCCTTTTTATTTCTTCGGTTTGACAATGTTCTCATTGGATATTGCAGGATGTTTCTTTTCCACAGCAGTTGGAGAACTGAGAAGCTATGAGAATCCTAAGAACAAGATCACCGCTGTTCCCGCTACCGAGGAGGAAATTTGGGGAGCAAAATTCATGGTAATTAAGATGGTTTTTTAGTTTATAAATACAAATCATTGGGATTTATGTTTCAATCTAGGTGCTGAATGATGCATTTGTGGGGTCACCTGCTAAGATCATAGCCACAATAACTCTCCATCTTAATCCATCAATCCTCGACATTCATACATCACATAGTGTTGAACCCAAGTCATAGCGTCGATGCGATTATTATAGAAACGAAGACTGTATTTTGTGCCAAAGCTATGTGCTATGGATAATTAGGTGAAAAGTTTCTTTTGGAAGGAATCCAAACCTGAAGTAAATTGATACTTTGCCCAATATTATAATTTAAAATGAATTATCCGCATTATACCAAATAAGTTAGATATGCATATATAATCTACAAGTATAATATATCACAATCATAGTGATGTATGCTTCATTTAAGAACATTGATCCTATGCTTAAATATGATTTTATTTCCAATCAGTGTCTCCATTGCTTGAATGGGGACAAATCTTCTAAAAAACAAATATCATGTTGTCGAACATGTATTATTATATATCATGATTCTAGATGATATGCCATATTGAAGTTTTTATGTAACATGACATTCTAATAATAAAAAACTAATCTGAATAGGAGTCTCTTCCTCCCTTTTGGGGATAGTATCTCTTTAGTCAACCTCAATTAATTGGGAAAGGCTTTATTGAGTTGATTTAAATATCAAATTTCTTTTGTGGTGTCCTCCACTAATATATGGAGTGGTGATGAGAATTCAAATTCAGACTTCAAACCATTTTCCGAATATATGTTATAGAAAGGATTCGGATTCTTTCTCGATCTAGGCCGGAATCCCGAATCCATGAAAAAGAGATGCGTCCAAATTAGTAAGATTTTCTTGTGTGCCAAGTCTAGTGTCCAACTCAATTATTTGAAATAATTCTGTGCATTATTATTTTATTATAATACAACAAATTTGTAAATTTGGTGGATGTAATTAATTTCAGGTGGAAGGGCCAACGTTTCTTACAGCCACAAAATAGAAGATTTATGTCCGTCAACTTCACAACTTGCATCTTTGTGGCAGAAAAGTGGGGTTTTATATGGCTGTGGATGTGATCCAATGCAATGGAAGATGCACGTAGATAAAAGTGTCGGTAGGATGGATATGTAGTCAATGTAATAGGATGCTGTAGGTTGGTCTGTTTGCTTCCTTGTGTAGTTGCTCTTCGCACAAGCGTTTTCTGCAACTTTTTTTTTTTTTTTTTTTCCCCTTTCCGGAGGTTAGTTTTCTGTAACTTTCGTCGGTGTAAAAATGTTTCTTCTAGTATAATAAAGTTTGTATTATTATTTAAAATTGCCTAAATTACTGTCATTGTTCTATTTTTTTGTCATTTCAATGTCTAGGAAGCAATTTTGCATCCTGCTTGAATAATTGCTATTAAACAGGGATTACCATTTTTCACAGAATGCATCAAAGCCAGGTGACACCTGCTGAGAGAGCACCCCTAATGGGCATTTTATCAAACAACTTCACGCTACCACCACAATAAACCTTCTTCACTAATATGACATTCTTAGCTACCAAAATGTCTCGTTCCACATATATCGAGTAAGTATTAAGACAATATTTCTGCGAATGTTGAATTAAATAATTATTTGTATTCAAAGGTTTTTTTTTTTTTTTTTTTTTTTTTTTTTTTTTTTTTTTGGGGAAATTTAAGCAACTGATATAAATGAAAAGTATGAGTATAGTGTTGGGCCTTTGGCCAAGAAACAGCCCATAGAGGGACAAAAAAGAAGCCCAAATTAGGGCCCAAAAGAAGGGACAGCCCAGAACCCAAAAACAAGCTAATAACCGCCATTAACCATAGTCTTTAATGGAGGATTGGCATACCACGGAAGCCATGGCCGGCGAAGAGTCAGTCCGGCGGCCTCGGTGGAGGCCGACAACAAGAAGGTGGCTTTAACAAGGTGGCTTCAAAGGTTGCTTTAACAGACGCTGAGAATGTTGAATTAAATAATTATTTGTATTCAAATAATTATTCCTTTAGAGTGGATAGAGATTGGAGACATCGTAGAATTTCTTTATACTTGTCTAATAGCATCTCGAGACATTGTAGAATTCCTTTAGACTTGTCTAAGAGCATCTGAAGTGCACAATAGCATATAGAATTTCTTTAGACTTGTCTAAGCGCATCTGGAATGCACAATAGCATATCATGTCAACACTTGTGACTCTCTACTTTTTGAAAAGTCACGTCTTGTGGACCTTTTTTTTGGTTATCTATTAGTAATTCATTATTTTTGAATGTATTTATTTAAAAAATAAAATATTTTAAATTTTTTAACTGTTTATTTGTGTTTAAATTTTTTTTTTTTCAAACGATTATATTATTAACTGCTATAATTGTTTACTTCGATTATATGTTTTGAGAATTTTAGTTTTAAAAAATAATATTTAAAGAAAGATGCATCATTTTAGTTGGTTGTGAGAAGTTTTTGCTTGAGTGAGATTGATTTGAGAAATTGTGCATGTTCATTAGATAGGCATATACTAATGCCATTCTTAGCTACCAAAATGGCCATGTTAATGTCCTGTTTTTACCCCATCTTGGTACTTACTTACTACCCTGAAGAACAATTGCAAAGATTTAGCTTTGAAATATGAGTTTGATTAGAATAGTTATGAGAAACTACCACTTGATATATTTCATAAGTTTATGCAGGTTGAATTGAGATGTATTATCATATTGATTCTTCAATACAAACCTATATACAAAATTTATGGCACAAGTTATAGAAATGAATAGTCATTTCATGTTTGTGTTAACGTTTTTGGCTTTTTTATACATATGATTTTTCGTTTGAGCAGATAAGATAAACTTGAAGGGTTGCTAATTGAGCAGATAAGTCATTTTTAATGTTATATTGTTTTTTAACTCTTCAAATTTTTATTTTTTTATTTTTCCATTTCAGAGTCTTTTCTAAGTTTAATGGAGAAATATAGGTCATGCAAATTTCCAGTTCATGATGAGTTTGTGATGCATATTTGTTACAAATTACTGTAAAATTTTCTAAACTGAATAAATTACTTACTCAATTTTCTACCTTTAGGGAAGTTAGGCTCCATTTGATATATATATTTCCATTTAAGGTGGAACGTTATAATTCTACATGCATTTAATTTGTGGTGATACACCTTTCTCTTACGTTGAATGTAAATATATGAAATCAAAGTTAATCTCTTATTTTCCCTAGATTTTGTTGTGATGAGGTGGACCTTTCATCCATTTTTTTGTCATTTTACGAACAATTCAGGGAATCAAATAATTAAGGATCGGAGTTTTTCTTGGAAAATTGATAAGAAAATTTTGACAGCTAAAGAATAAATTACATATTAGAAAGAATACGGAAACCAACAATGAAAATATGAAAACTTATTTTTTGAGTTGCGATATGTATCATGAATTCAATTCAAGATTCATATCTTGAATTTACATAGAAGTGATGATGTGGCTACTTCCTACAAGATGCATTGCACCTGTCAATCCTATAATCCTATTGCCTCTACTAGCACCAATAATTAGGATCTACAGCGGGTATATACAATATGTGGATTTAGGTTAAGAATTTGCATTTTTTTTTTAAAAACCCCAAATTTTATAGAAAAAATTGGATATGAAGCTTATTCTTATTGGAGAATACTATTAGCTTGATTATTCATTTCTTGATAAAAATTTGAAACTTGTGTCAAAATATTAAATACGATTCTTTCCTAGAGAAGAAAAAGAAAAAGAAAATACTAAATTCAAAACAAGATAAAATTAATTTTTTAAAAACTTTTTGGGCTTTAGTCACCTTGCCGGAATACATGTGTAGTAAAATAAGGACCACGTTTTTCAAGCTAAAGATCTTGAAATTCAACTCATAATGTTTATCACTTTTTTTTTTTTTACCTGGTGCAATATAAATGTGTGTGTGTATATATATATATTCATATTAACCGTCCATTTTATTTTATTATTATTATTTTTTGTTATGTGTATATATGTATACTCCTTCAGTTCCATTTATCTGTCCATTTCTTGTATTAGAACTTTTGAAGGGTGCATGCACTCGATACATTGTTACTTTTTAAAATTACCAAGTTATCTTTTTAATTTTAAATATTATAAGTTGAATGATTTTTTAAAAGTTAAAGAGTAACTATTAATAGAAAATATACCCTATGAATATATAAGGGACAAGTATATTTGGACAACCTAATAAAAATAAAAAATAGGCACAATTAATATATATATAAAAGGAAGTTACCAGATTCGGTTCTTTTCCTTCTTTCTTTACTTTTTTCACAAGTTATCCAACTTTCTTATAAGTACAAAACTCAGCAAGAAAGTAGAGTTATATCATTTGTGCTCACCTCCATCATAAATCGTACCTGCTGCAGAGGTAAGCAATGAGGCCTGCCAATGCATGCATGTTTTTAAAATGAATTTTTGCCAAGTTTAATTTAATGCTTAATTAGTTGAATTATAGGGCACATGAACTTTATATTACTCATCAATGTTACCATGTATGTTTTTTTGATGCGAGTTGATTAATTTGTATATATAGTCTTTTCATTTACTTTATTTTGCTCTGATGTTATTTGGAATGTCTCTTGCAGGAAGGATGTCTTCACAATTTGGCGGTAAGAGCAATCCTATTTGTCCTTATATCATTATATGTATCCAATAATGTTCCTATGTTTTAACCTCATAGGAAAATGATCATTTCGTAATTTTATCACAAATGAGATGGGGTATAATTAGCTTAATTTCTTTTTGGGAAGGGGGAGAAACTCTCACTTAGATTTTCTTTTGGGATTAAATTTCTTTACTTTGGGGAAGTTGCCGACGGCACCATACTGGATTAGTTCTAAATTTTTGCTTAAATACAGAGAGTGTGTGTGTGTGTGTGTGTATGTATGTATATATATTATATATATCAAAGCACATGTATAATTAACTATATATGGTGAGAAAGATATATAAATAATTCTTATGTGTTGCTCTAAAACTACAACTTGCATTATAACTTTAAAATTAGAATTATGTTTGTATCTCTTCAGCTTAGGGTTAATTTGGAATTACTGATGATTACTCAAAAAAAAATTAAGACATCTATCTGTAAACCAATTTAGTCATAGACAATTATGCATTGTAAGGGGAAGCTTCGGATCTTTATACTTTTAGAAAGATAATACTGAGAGAGAAAATTAGCTTAAGACGTATAACCATTTGTACTACAATTAATCTTGAATTTTTCTCTCGAGAAATTTAACATTGCTCAAACCTCATAAGCACATAGACACGTGAAGGCATTGTACCTTTATGGTTCTTGGGCGTAATTGAACGAACAAATAAAATAAAATTTTGAAGCCAATTTATTTTAAAATAAAATTATAAATATTAAAACTTTAATTTTAGTTGATAATATTTTTGTTTATATAAGAAAAAGGATATTATGATATATTATTTGACTGAAGCTATGACCTTAGGCAAAGCGAAATTGTAATATATATATATAAACCTCAATTTGTTTGTAATATGGTCGTCTCTTATGAAGTCAGCTAATTTCTTTTTGTAGGTGACGACCTTAATGACCTTACTGAAACAAGATCGAGCAGCACTCACCGTGAGCTTGATTGTCTTCTGGACATTAAGTCATATTCGTGTCCTTTTCTTGCCAAGCTCTATTAAAAAGTATATTTAAAAAAACTTTATCTATATATGTGTGTGTGTGTGTGTGTGTCAGGTAAGTTAGTTGTTAATGGAGTGAGTCATAAACTTAATAAAATTGAACTTTACAGATCTCAATGTTTTAAGAAAATTTAAATGTAAATGGAGCCATCTGTTATGTTTTCCTTAATCTTTGTTCATATAGTTCAGCTAGTTATCATTTCAACAAAAAATAAAAATAAAATAAGTGTACACTGAAAATATGAATTAAAAGGTCATTTCTTAATTTTCCATTGAGTCATTGACCTATAGCTTTTTAAGATGATCACACGTTGAAAATGGAAATGACTGTTAGTCAGGATTGTATCTTATTTGACAAAAAATAAAATAAAAAATTGACTAAGAAATAATTTTTTTCACGTCAAAAGGTAAATAATAAAAACAAAAAATCATAACAAAATCACAAAATTATCAAGCATCAGTATAATATTCTTGATCTAATTCATGTGATAGTTTCATGTGACGTTGTGAACAGTACAGAACTAAATGACAGTTACTAGAAAAGATGATAGATTCATGTGAACAAAGCAAAACTAGGATATTCATATTCTATACAAAAATGAGTGTGTTTTAC